TTCAGTTGCTAAGTTGTATCCAAGCCGGGCTCCTCGGTCCTCCACCATCTTCTGGAGTCTGCTCAAATTCACGTCCATTGAGTCTCTGATGCCATCTAACCTTCTTATCCTCTGCCGCCCTCTTCTTTTGCCTTCATTTCCCAGCATCAGGGTCTTTTCCAGTGAGTCGTATCTTTACATCAGGTGGCCAGAGCATTGGAGCTTCAGCTTCAGCATCAGTCCTTCCAATGAATGTTCAGGACTGACTTCCTTAAGGATGGACGGGTTGGATCTCCTTGCAGTCCAAGGGGCTCTCAAGAGTCTCCTCCATCACCACAGTTTGAAAGCACTAGTTCTTTGGTGCTCAGCCTTCTTCATTTTCCATCTCTCATATCTGTACATGACTTTCCATCCGTACATGGAAAAACCATAGCTTTAACTATATGGACCTTTGTCAGCAAAGCAGTGTCTCTGCTTTTTCATATGTTGTCTAGGTTTGTCATAGCTTTCCTTCCAGGGAACAAGTGTCTTTTAATTTCAAGACTGTAGTCACTGTCTGCAGTGATTTTGAAGTCCAAGAAAATATGTCACTGACTACTTCTACTTTTCCCCCTTCTATTTGCCATAAAGTGATAGGACCAGATGCCATGATATTAGTTTTTTTTAAATGTTGAGTTTCAAGTCATCTTTTTCACTCTCCTTTTAAACTTTCATTAAGAGGCTCTGTAGTTCCTCTTCACTTTCTGCCATTAGAGTGGTATCATTTGGATATCTGAGGTTGTTGATATTTCTCACAGCAGTCTTGATTCCTGCTTTTGGTTCATCCAGCCTGGCATTTTGCATGATGTACTCTGGATATAAGTTAAATAAGCAAGGTGACAATATATAGCCTTGTCATACTCCTTGCCCAATTTTGAACCAAGTCATTGTTCTATATTCAGCTCTAAATGTTGCTTCTTGACCTGCATACAGGTTTCTCAGGAGATAGGTCAGGTGGTCTGGTATTCCCATCTCTTTTTTTTTTTCCCCCATCTCTTTAAGAATTTTGCATAGTTTGTTGTAATCCACACAAAGATATTAGCATAGTCAATGAAACAGAAGTAGATGTTTTTCTGAAAGTCCCTCATTTTCTCCATGATCCAGTGAATGTGGCAATTTGATCTCTGGCAGCTCTGCCTCTTAGAAATCCAGCTTGTAACCATGAAAGTTCTAGGTTCAACTACTGCTGAAGCCTAACTTGAAGGATTTTGAACATTACCTTGCTGGCATGTGAAATGAATGCAGTCGTATGGAAGTTTGATCATTCTTTGTCATTGTCCTTCTTTGAGGTTGGAATAAAAACTGACCTTTTTCAGTCCTGTAACCACTGCTGAGTGTTCCAAATTTGCTGACATGTTGAGTGCAGCATTTCAACAGCATCATCTGTTAGGATTTGAAATAGCTCAGCAGGCATTCCATCACTTCCACTTTGTTTGTAGTAATACTTCCTAAGACCCTTGGACTTCACGCTCCAGAATGTCTGGTGCTAAGTGAGTGTCCACACTAACGTGGTTATCTGGGTCATTAAGACCTTTTTTGTATAGTTTTTCTGTGTATTCTTGCCACCTTTTCATAATCTCTTCTGCTAGGTTCTTAGCATTTCTGTCCTTTATCGTGCCCATCCTTGTATGAAATGTTCCTTTGAGATCTCCAGTTTTCTTGAAGATATCTCTAGTTCTCCCCATTCTGTTGTTTTCCTCTATTTCTTTGCATTGTTTACTTAAGAAGGCCTTCTTACCTCTCCTTGCAGTTCTCTGAACTCTGCATTCAGTTGGGTATATCTTTCCCTTTCTCCCTTACTGTTTGCTTCTCTTTTTCCCTCAGCTAGTTGTTAAGCCTCTGCAGACAACCACTTGGCCTTCTTGCATTTCTTTTTCTTTGGTATGGTTTTGGTCACTGCCTCTTGGACAGTGTTACTAACCTCTGTGCATAGTTCTTCAGACACTCTGTCTGCCATATCTAATCCCTTGAATCTGTTTGTCAGCTCCACTGTATAATCATAAGGGATTTGATTCAGGTCATAACTTGAACGGCCTAGTGGGTTTCCCTGCTGTCTTCAATTTAGGCCTGAGACCTGCAATAAGGGTCTCCTGATCTGAGTTGCCCTAAATTTCTGGTCTGACAGTTTCAGCATCTCTGCTCTGTCTCACTCTGGTTCTAATTCTTGTCCTGTTTCTTCAGACTGTCTCTTTTTTTGCTTTTTGGTATGCCTTGCAATTTTTTTTTTTTAATTTAAAGCCAGACATTATATTCTGGATGAGAGGTGGGCCTTTCGAGGTACAGTTATAAAGTATAGAAGGAGGGGAAACATCCTTTAAAGCTGTGTTTAGATCTCCATCTTTTTGAACCTTTGCATCTGGGTTGTGATCTTCACATGTGCTTTTCAGACCTCCACCTCTCCTCTTTAGGAGGGCTAGGATGGCCTGAGTGGGTGGGGAAATAGATGGGCTATTTCCCTTCCTCCAAGGCGGTTAGTCTCTAATAAAGCCTGGGTAGTTCAATTCAGTTCAGTTGTGTCTGACTCTTTGTGACACCATGAACTGCAGCACGCCAGGCTTCCCTGTTCATCACCAATTCCCGGAGCTTACTCAAACTCATGTCCATTGAGTCAATGATGCCATCCAACCATCTCATCCTGTGTTGTCCTCTTCTCCTCCCACCTTCAGTCTTTCCCAGCTTCAGGGTCTTTTCCAATGAGTCAGTTCTTCATGTCAGGTGGCCAAAGTATTGGAGTTTCAGCTTCAGTATCAGTCCTTCCAATGAATATTGAGGACAGATTTCCTTTAGGATTCACTGGTTGGATCTCCTTGCAGTCCAAGGGACTCTCAAGAGTCTTCTCCAACACCACAGTTCAAAAGCGTCAGTTCTTTGCCACTCAGCTTTCTTTATAGTCCAATTCTCACATCCATACATGACTACTGGAAAAACCATAGCTTTGACTAGACAGACCTTTGCTGGCAGTGTCATGTCTCAGCTTTTTAATATGCTGTCTAGGTTTGTCATAGCTTTTCTTCCAAGGAGCAAGAGTCTTTTAATTTCATGGCTACAGTCACTGTCTGCAGTGATTTTGGAGCCCTCCAAAATAAAGTCTGTCACTGTTGCCACTGTTTCCCCATCTATTTGCCATGAAGTGGTGGGACCGGATGCCGTGATCTTACTTTTCTGAGTGTTGAGTTTTAAGCCAACACTCTCTTCTTTCACTTTCATCAAGAGGTTCTTTAATTCTTCTTCGCTTTCTGCCGTAAGGATGGCGTCATCTGCATATCTAAGGTTATTGATATTTCTGCTGGCAATCTTGATTCTAGCTTGTGCTTCATCCAGCCCGGCATTTTGCATGATGTACTCTGCGTTTAAGTTAAATAAGCAGGGTGACAATATACAACCTTGGTGTACTCCATTCCGGATTTGGAATGAGTCTGTTCAGTCCGGGTAGTTCAGGCTCTGGTTAGTTTCTCCTGAGGGCAGACCTTGCTGAGAACAGAATGCATGGGCATATTTCAGAAAGGTTAATTTTCCCCTCCCCCTACTAAGCCCCAAGGGGATTTTTATATGCTCTTCACTGTGAGAAGCTGTGGAGTTCCAGTAGGTGAGAGTCATAAAGTGTTGGGGGTCCTCTTGGAATTGTTAATTTACTTTCCTGCACTAGCTTCCAGTAGCTGGTCAACGTACAGTTCAGATTTTCCTCTGGTGCTAGGTTCTACGGAGATTTCTGCTCACATCAGTTGTGATTATCTGTTTCTCCAATTGTAGGTGAGAAGGTTTGCCCTGTGGCCTCATATTTTATGTCAGATATAAGAAGAGTTGTTATTTTTCAGTTGGGTTAGCTGTTTACTTACTGTTATGATGGAGTGGTGAATTCCAGCCTCCTTACATGCTGGGATAGAAACTGGAAGTTAAATTGAGCTTTGAAATGTAAGATTGGTAAATATGACAGCATCATTTCTTCTTGGAGATTCTAATTGCTTTTCTTTTTCCTATTTATATTGTCTATCTCTGTTGACTCCTTAAGTTGTTCAAGATTCTCAGTTGAGTATCCTATATCTTTTAAAATTTATTGAGACTTGTATTATGACTCAGTATATGGTCTCACTTGGAAAAGGCTGTTGGGTGTACTTGAGAGGAATGAATATTGTGCTGTTGTTGGGGAAAGTGTTACATAAATATTAGTTATGTCATGAGTTTATGATTTTTTTTGTCTACAGGTCTATCAGCTACTGAAGGAGAGGCATTGATACCTCCAACTATACAATTGTTTTATTTATGTCTCATTTCCATTCTGTTAGTTTTGCTTCATGTCTTTTGAAGCTGTCACTTAGGTACACGGAAGTTTAGAAGTTTTATGTCCTCTTGATGAATTGATATGTGTCATTGTTAAATGATTCCTTCTTTGATCTGAAGTCTACCTTGTCTCTTCTGGGCTATCATCTGAAATAATATGTAGTGGCCTTGCCAGCAGTTGCTTGGCTTCCTCGTAACACTATGGCTGGGTTACAGAAGTGAGCATTGAAGAGAGCAGATCGTAAGCATATGACTTTTTTGTGCTCCAGCTTTGGAAGTCACATAACATCACATCTGTGTTTCTAAGCCCACCCAGGCTTATGGGAAAGGAGTATGAGCCCACCTCTCCGTGGGAGAAGTGTGAAAGTCACATTGTGAGAATAGCATGTGTGTTGGGAATCATGTTCTGGCCTCCTTTGCAAAATAGAGTCTGCCAATTTGGGAAAATAAATAATGGTTAAATTCTTAGTAAGCCAGTAAGGAATTTTTTTCAACTTTTTTTCTTTTTCCCAATAAGGATTGACACAAGATTTTTTAATTTAATCCCCTCAAGTAAAGTTTTGTACAAAATCTTATGCCGTAATAATTTTATGTATTAAGGTTTTATTATGATAACACTTTTTTAGTAAGATCCTTCTGGTCCTGTTTTCTATTTATTTATAACATTTCCTAAGATAATTTTTATTATTATTTTTGTTTTCCAGATAAGACTGTAAAATGTAATGTGGATTCATTGAAAGGTTCACCTGAAAAAGAATCTGAAAAGAAACAGCAGTACATCTCCTTGAAAGACGTAAATAAGGTGCTGTTTTTAAATGTTCATTAAATATAAAGTTTATATAGTGTTCATTTTAGAATAGTCTCCTTTAAAATCTACCAGGAGCCAAAACTGTGGCTATGATAATTTATTCATGAAAAAAATGTAAGTTTACAAGTTTACTCTGATTCAGATGAACAGGATAATTACTGTTCCTCCCTTTTCAAGTCCTTGTTCTTGGCCTGCTGACCACTTGACAAAATTGGATGCATATTCTCACTTTAACAAGGGTATAAATATCTGGAATTATGGGACATTTTTATAGTTAAGGTCAAGTTTTACCTGTCCCTCCAGTTCCTTTGACAAGACAGGTGAAAGTAATTCCAGGACATTTTAAATACTGACTGTCTGAAGTCTGGCTACCTGCTCTTTGGACCCTTCAGTCTAGTGTTCATAGTGGTGGCATTATCACCGACCTCTCCGGTTCTTGGTCTCCTCATAACACATTGCCTGGACCTTATCTAAGATCGTTATCTATGAGAACAACTCCCAAGGAATTTTGATGCCTCAAGAACACATATGTTGCTAGCGTAAATAGTCATCCTGGAAAAAAATTATTTTTTTTTTACAGTGTGTTGAATCTGCAGTGTGCTGGCCAACAAAGAGAGGCATAACCATATATGCCAGTCCAGACACATCAGCTGCAAGGTATGATCTGAAAATCTAGTGTAACTGACTAGAGATTTAAGTATAATACTGTTTTATACAGTGTTCAGTAAGATTGATGATGGGAGAATATTCGTTTTCAAAAAAAGAGTGACCCTGGAAATTTTGATTAAGCATGTATTTAAAATCAATACGTCTGACAGCTGGCTAGCAGCACAGTTTTCCAAAAAGGGGTAGTGATTCTGGAGTCTCCTTGTCGACTTGTCAGCCAGAACTGTGTCTGTGAGGCAGATGTCTTGATGTGAAGGGTGGGTATATGTGGGCCGGTGGCAGTTCAGGTTGGTGGAAGGTGAAGAATGTTTTCTTGTATTCTTGAAGATGAGCTTCCAAGTCTTTGTAACCCTGTCCTCAGCAAAATCCGTGTCAGTGATGTGAATGGGAAAATGTGATATCATGCACTTCATGTATAGTAAAAGATCTTAAAATAGGAAGCTTCCATTTGTCCCCTCCTGGACTTTATGCTAGTGTTGTCATACATTGTATTTATACATTTGTTATAAATGCTGGACTCTGTTGTTGTTCGTATTTAAACAGGTAAGTTTTTCTTTGAGGGATTTAAATAAGAAGAGAAATTACCGTGTATTTACCTATGTGGTTATCATCCATGCTTTTCACTTTTTGTGTAGATCCAGATTTCCCTCTGGCACCATCTTCCTTTTACTTGAGGGACTTCCTTTACTATTTCTTGTATATTTCTTCCTTTACTCTTTCTTGGGTCTGCTGGTGATGAACTCTTTCAGCTTTTATATGTCTGAAAAAACTTTGCTAGATCGAATTCCAGCTTTAAATTTCTCTTTCCCTGTATTTTAGCGGTGTTGCTTTACCATCTGCCCACTCATATTGTTTGCAGTGCAGAATCTACCATCATATTTTTTCTTTGTTTCTCTGTTTGCAGCATGTCTTTTTCCTCTGTTTTTAGGGTTTTCTCTTCATTGCTGGTTTGGACAATTTAATTATTGTATGTCTTGATGAAGTTTCTCTTATATTTCTTATGCTTGAGATTCATTAGGGCTCTTCATTTGTAGGTTTCTGTCTTTTCATTGGGCCTTCCCTGGTGGCTCAATGGTAAAGAATCCGCCTGCAATGCAGGAGACCCAGGTTCAATCCCTGGGATGGGAAAATCCCCTGGAGGAGGGTATGGCAACTCACTTTAGTACTCTTGCCTAGAGAATCCCGTGGATAGGGGAGCCTGGCAGGCCACAGTCCTTAGGGTCACACACAGTCAGACATGACTGCGCTGCAGCTAAGCAGCAGCAGCAGTCTTTTCATCAGATTTGATAAGCATTCAGCTGTGTTAGTCTGCAAATATTTTTTCTGCACCTGTCATTTTCTTCCCTTTTGAGACTCTTATAAGACAGATGTCTCTGAGGCTCTGTTCATTTTTTCAATTTTTTCTTGCTTTTCTTCATAATAATAATTCTACTGCTCTGTGTTTAATTTAATTGTCACTTCTATTATCTCCATTTTGCTGAGCCCATCCACTGAGTTTTTTATCTGATGTATTATATTTTTTTGTTGTAAAATTTTCATTTGATTTTTTTATAGTTTATATTTTTGCTGAGAAGAAAATAAAATTCTGATTGTGTCATTTAGGAGTGCTCATCTTTCCTTTTCTTATGGAGCATGGTTATAATAGTTCCTGTAGGGTGTTTTATAATTCACACTTCTGAGCTCTGTTGGGGTTGGCACTTGTTGGTTATTTTTTCCCTCTGCAGTTGATCTGATTTTCCTTATTCATTGTATGTTGAGTAATTTTGGGTTGTACTCTAGATACTTTGAATATTATGGCATGAGACTCTGGTATAGAATCTTCTGGAGAATGTTGATTTTGTTGTTTTAGCGGGAGGTCATCACTCCCTTAAGGTTCAGACCTCAGACTCTGTCTCACTTGCCGTGGGTGGTGATTGTGACACTGTTTCCAACTCTTAGGTCCACTGCTTTGGGCCTGTTCCAGACACACTCAGCTTGGGATCAGAGTGGGACTTGGGGTGGGTATGGGGTTTCCCCCAGCCCCAGCTCTCTATCTCTTTTTTTCCCCAGGACTTTTCCTCACATTCACCATTTTCTAGATGTTCTCGCTCCCTGTTCCTCTGACCAGAGAGATGGTTTTTTGTTGTTGTTGTTGTGGAGAAGCTACCATGCAGTTCGTGTGACTAGGGTTGCTTATGGAATAAAATAGCAATAGAAATAAAAGAAGAAGAAAAGATGGAAATTTTTCCTCATCTAGTCTCTAGACCACTGGGTCCCCATTTCCTGGTTCATTAGAGGGAGGGAGAAGTTTTCTTGTGGGGTTTTAAGTGACCATATGTGTGATTAGCACCACTGCATGCATCTCCGTGATCAGAGCTGGCTTTGGGGTTAGAACAGGAGGGGAGAGGGCCAGGATTCCTCACACCCTCTGGTCTCAGGCCCCTCTTCTCTGTTCTCTGGCTTGAAATATGTTTAGCCGTCCTCATCTGATGCTCCTGCACATGCTCTGATGCAGATTCCTTGGTTGTGGAGGGTCCACCGTGCTACACTATCTTATATAAGGGACTTGAGCATCCTTGGATTTCGGTATCCCTGGGGCTCCTGGAATCAGTACCCTGCAGATACTGAGGGATGAGGGTAGAGACTTTCTCAGGTTTTTTGACGTCTGCATCCTCTGCACCATTCTGCAACTTGGGCCACCCTCGTGTCAACACCAAGAGATAGAGAAATGTGAAAGCCAGGACACTCTCCATGACTTTGGTGGTTTTTCACGTTGGAGCTTCCTCCCCTGTAGTTTCATACTTCATCCTGAGTTTCTCGTCATAATCCGTAAGGGAGAGAGGCTGTAGGGGGCTTGCTCCCTCTTGGCAGCCTGAGGATTGTCAAAATGGTCTTCATACTCAAAGGACTGTTTCAGTTCTCAAAGAATTTACTTAAGTTGATCCACTTATTCTGTAGTGGTACTTCTCAAATTTCCTCCCAGAAAATAAAGATATTTTCAGATTCGGAGTAAATGGATTCAGAAATTTTAGCAAATGTTTTTGATTTTTAGTGCTTCATGTCAAAAGTCAAGTGAGAAGCCACTTAGATCAGCTGAGAAGAAAGAATACAATGAGAAGAATGGCTGTGTGAAGTATGGATTTTTTTTCTTGGCCTCAATTTTTTATTGAAATAATTGTAGAAAAATTATAAGCAGGAAGAATCTGTATGTGATTTTATTATTAATTTCAAACCTGCATTCCCAGTGACTCAGTGGGTAAAGAATCCACCTGCAGTGCAGGAGACACAAGAAACACAGGTTCCATCCCTGGTTCGGGAAGATCCCCTGGAGGAGGGCATGGCAACCCACTCCAGTATTCTTGCCTGGAAAATCCCATGGACAAAGGAGCCCGGTGGGGTACGGTCCTTAGGGTCACAAAGAGTCGGACACGACTGAAGCAACTGAGCACAACACTGCACATACACAGTGTCTTCAGGCTTTGAGGTTAGTTTTTTCTTTTTCATTTACTAGGGCAGATTTTTCTGTTTAAAGTTTTGTTCTACTATAAATAGTCATTCTCTGCCTCCCCTTCCTGAATCTCTTGTCAAGTGAACAATTTTATGAAACAAATTAAGTATAGTTGATCTTGTGGGGCTGTTGATTTTATATGGGTTGGCACTTGCTTTCTTCCTAGTTTTCAGATGTTAAATGGATCTGCCACCTGCTGGAGAAAGTAGGTATTTATAGTGTGGAACTTGGGACGTTTCTTTTTTTTTCCTGTCCTGCCAGATTCACAAAGTACTCACTTGGTAGTTGTTAACAGTAGAGTAATCTCTTCATTTTAATGAAGAGATTTGTTTAATCCACAAAGTATTTTTGTACAAATTTTTATGATTTCTTACCTTACCAGCCTAGAAACACTCTCACATTCCATGTAACTGTGGCTGCTCTGAAGCCATCAGAGTGACAAAGCATCTAAGACGGTTCAGAAGTGGGTAGATGGTACAGTAGCTGCTAACTGGGATGACGGGGGAGAGGGTCATTGACCATATGGCCATCTTGGTGTCCTGACTCCCTGGAGGCTGCTCTGTGGCCCTGTGACATCCCAGCAGGAGGGCCTCATGGTGTCCATGGCCAAGGGCTCTGAACGTTGCCCCATGGAGCCCACGGGTCTTGGGATGGTTGTTAATGCACCAGAGTTGACATCCTCCTACCCAGGCATCCCTCCACCTAATACCTGGAAGTAGTGATGCTCCAACAGGTTATTTTCCTTGAACCAAAGACTTTGCGTTATCCATGTAGCTCATTTCTTTCAGCCTCATGCCCTTTACTTAGAACCCTCTGATGAAATGACATCAGTTATTCTATCAGTCTGTTGTGGGTCCCAAAGAACCTTGAAGTGATTGAAGATTAAACAGCAGGAAAGGAAGGAGGCAATGGGTTTCTTAGAAGAAACACGAGTGAGTGATCATGCAGTCTTTCTCCTTGTCCAGAGCAAGTGGTCCTGGGATTGGCACTGCTGTGCAGAGCAGGGCCCAGTGGGGGAGGGAGAAGGGGCAACATGAGACTGGCAGACCCGCCAAAGCCCTTGTGTAGCAATGGACAGGGTAAAACAGAGCAAGTGGTAATGCCATGGCCATGCCTGTAGTTCATCTTACCTCTGTCAAGGAAGATATAGAGTGACAGCTGAACTGAAGAGCACTTCTTTTTCCTTCAAATGATCCCTTTGATTATTTTATAGATTACTGCAGTTTTTAAATCCTGATCCTTTAAGAGCTGATGGAATCTCTGATCTGCAGCAGGTATTGAAACTCCCCGTCCAACCCCTGCCGCCAAAAGAAAGAAAGCTGTTTACTCTTTAAATCCCACCCCTCCTTTCCTCTAAATTTTAGATATAAAGAAAAATTCCTTGCATGGAGAACTTTACCTGAAGATGTCCTTTTAGAAATTATCTAATAAATTACTGCTTTAGAGACATGGCTCTTTTTCTGTTTGGGTAATAGATAATCTTCCTTTCATTTTGGTCATTTTGATGGGTTTTGATAAGCATATAAACCTAGGGTTTTACACTGAAACCAAACTCTCAATGTCCTCTTCATCTCTGTAAAGTTCTTGGTATCCTATGCCAACACCATCAGGCAGAACCGTCTAACACCTGTGTTCTTAGTTGCAGAAGCTGAAGTCGGGGTCCCAGCAGACCATGGCAGTTTTGCGAAACAGGGTTGAGCCCTGCTTGTCCATCGAGACAGCACCACTCTCAACAGACCTGAAAAAGGTGATGGGATTCATAAAGGAACTCTGACCTGTTTTAATGTAGAGAGATTTTTAATAAACAGTTCTGAGGTTGCATTTCCATAATTTCTTTGCTTTTGAAGTTCCCTTTTAAGATTTTGTTATTAATTTCTCATTTAGTCTTAAAGTCCAGGTTAACTTCTTAATAAGTGAACAATTCTTTTCGTGGAGAAACCTAAGTGCTTTAGTGAAATAAGTTCTCAATTGTGCCTCTGAAAAGGGGCTCAGAAGGAGCACAAGCAGTCGGGGCAGTTAGAATGTTCTCCGAATCCTCTTCAGAATTGCGTTCTAGAACTGTGGTTTCACTTAGATCATCAGTTTAGAGCATCAGTTTAAATCATGTTTATCTGCTTCCCTCTTGATATTAAAAAAAAAAGTAAAAAAAAAAACCCACAAGGATGAATGAGAGTGAGGTCTCTATTGGACAGGAGAATTCTTACAGGCTTTTGGAAGATGGAAAAGCAGCAGCAGAGGGTGGCTGACCACTGAGGACGGGGTGACGTGGGGAGGGCACTGGCCTGCCCGCCTTGTTTCCTGAGCATCCACAGCCAGGTTCTCAGGAAGGACATTGGAGGCTCTGTTTGAAGAAACTGAATGACCCTCGAGAATAACCTTCAGGCAGCGCTGTTGTTCAACCCTCCCAGTAAAAATGCCTGCTTGCTGCTCGTCTCCCTTCAGTGATGGGACTCTGACGTGGTGCTGAGCTCCAGCCTACCTACAGGTGTAGCCCAGCATTTAGTGTCCTTGATGTGAGCAGTCTCCAGGGATCCTTGGACATTTTGAAGGGAGCCTTCCCCTAAGGAAAGAGGAAAACAAACTCTGAAAGAAACAAACGATGGAGGGAGTGAAAGAGAACATGAGAAAATAGATATCCTCAGAGATAAGAGAAGATATTGCTTGGCTTTAACGATAATAAGGTGCTATAAAAAAGAGAAACAGATAAAAAAGGGGTCTTAGGAATTAAAAATGCTATAGAAAGAAAAAACAGATATGAGAGGTAAAATAGAAGTTAACGTCAGAAAGTAGAACAGAAAGATGGAAATGAGGGGAAAAAAGAATTTGAGAATCAATTTGATGTCTCATATCTGAAAAGGATTTCTAGAAAGAATGATGAAAGAGGGCAGAAAATCCTGAGCATAGCAAATGGACACTCCCTGGACTTAATGGATATGGCTTTCTGAATTAAGAGAGTTTGCTGACCACAGACCCAGAACAACTGAGGAGCAAGAACATAGACACATTGCTACGAAGCATCTGAATTGAAAGGGATTCAGAGATGCTGAAAGCTTCCAGGGAGAAGAAACCCATCCCTGGAAGGGTCAGAAATCAGAAGAGCTTCAGACTTGTCCACGGGTCACCAGAGGAACACTGACTCCAAAACACTGGTGAAAAGTGACTTCCAACATGGAAGTCTCTGGCCAAACCACTAGTGAAGAGTGAGGATGAAATGAAAGCATTTTCACATGTGCAAAGTCTGAAATTTCCTTCTTCTGTACCCTTTGTTGAGAAGCTGCCAAAATCTGTTCTCCACCAAACCAAGAAATTCACCTGAAAAAGTTACAGAGAAGAGGTGACGTTGCAGGAAAATCCCAGTCCCAGGTACAGCTGGGGCTCAGGGCTGGGGGATGAGGTCTTCAGAGAACCAACGGCTGGCTGGTGCTTTCAGCCTTGTGGAGGAGCTCATCCATGTGGCTGGAGAGCTCTGTGGAACATTTGGGGGGGTTCCAGTGACAGTTACATACAAAAATAAGCAAACAAAAGGCATGTTTGTTTTGGGGGGATTAAAAAAAAAAACTTTGCTAGTGGCTGATGCACTAGCAGTTTATCAGAAGGAGGATGAGAAACCACACCCTTGCTCAGGTAAGCATTAAACACCTGGTCCTTCAACACACTGCCTATTGGATCCTTTCAGTTTGAAGCCCAGAAAAGCAAAGAGTCTCTTTGAGCAGGAGTTCACTGCTGGAAAATGTCTGGGGGGACTTACTGAGTTAGGTGTTGGGAAATCCCAGATTGAGCAGTGAGTACTTGTTGTTGGGGTAAGGTAAGCAATGAGAAGGGTCTGTTAGCTTTCTGTACTTTATTGTCTTGGTTGTCATTGATGTTTTGTAGGCTCTTCAAAGAAATAAGTTTCCAGGCCCCAGCCACACTGAATCTTACTCTTGGCCTCCCATAGCGCGTGGCTGCGACGTGGTGGTCGTTTCTCACTGTGGAAACGACCCTTTGTTGTACCTTCCACCAATGCTTACAGTTCTGCAAACAGGGGGCTGCTACAAGTCTTTGCCAAGTAGAAACGGAGTAAGTTGAAGACAGTTTTGTTTTTCAACAAAATGGGTTAAAAGTTTATTTCAAACTTGACGCCTGACTTTTGGTTAAGTTTAGGTTACATTAAAACTGAGGACAGAGACTGTCCTGTGAGAAACTCTTCTCAACACAGACCACTGATTCTTACCGAGAATCCCTAGTTGTTGGCAGTTGTCATGAGTCAGGAGAGTCCTGGCTTTTTGTGATGAATATACAGTTGATAGAATTATTTCACTGACTGAATCTAATTGTCACAGCAACCCCTTGAGATGGTCAGACAGTGTGTTGTCTTCACTATTTTATAGGTTAGAAAATTAAGCTCATAAAAAATCCTTACCTGCTGACAAGTGTGACAAGACGTGGGATTTGAATTTAGATTATCTTTTAAAATTTTTTATTTATTTGGCTGCATGAGGTCTTAGTTGTGGCACGTGGGATCTTTCGTTGTGGTGCACAGACTCTCTAGTTGCAGCGCATGGACTCTTTAATTGTGGGGTGTGGGCTTCAGAGCACGAGGCCTCGGTAGTTCATTGTGCGGGCTGAGTTACTCCACAGCATGTGGGATCTTAATTCCCTGGCCAGGGATCAAACCCACATCCCCTGCATTGAAAGGCAGATTCTTAACCACTGGACCACAAGGAAGTCCCATGAATTTAGATTTTCTGTCATCTTGTCTCTATTGACTGTTTTGGAATCCTACTTTATTTTTCCCAAGTGTAAGAACTGGAAAATAGCTGAGAAGCCAGATGGAAAGGGGAGAGGTGAATGTGAGGGTCCAGTGGTGGTGGTGGTTGGGGGGGAAGTACCATCTGCTTTGTTGGGGTCTGGCTGTCAGGGAACTGATGAGTATGATCTGTCTCAGCTCTTCTCCCTAGAGATACACTACGGGTGGTTCCATCACTCATTATAAGGTGAAAAATAGCAGTACAGATTTCATCTTAGAAAAGATACTGGTTTATGTAATTATGCCTTGTGGTTTTATGAGTTTTCTTTAGAAATCTGCATTGTCTGTGTTATGATGTATTGACTTAATAATATTAAGTCGATGCATTTATGTCAGTCAGGTAGCAGCTGACCCCACTGATGAGAGGCAGCTTGTGTTGAGATTGGCCCCTGGCTGGGCCAGGAAGGAGTGTCCAGGTCTGCCGCTTGTGGCCCTGCTGTTTTGTCCGTGTCTCCAGGGTCAGCCTGCATTTAGGCGTGAGCCCCGGAAGCTGGTGCTTGCCTGTGTGTTCAGGAAGGTGTCGGCAGACGGTGTCCCTTCTAGAGGGAGCCCTGAGGGATGGAGGGCAGGATCCAGGCGGTGCAGCGGGAATCTTGCTCTCTTAAGGAGGAGATGGTAACCTTTTCCACAGCCCTTTTCAGGAGGCCGTTAGTTCACCCTTGTGCTTAGAAACAAGCAGTCTGGAGCCAGGCCGCCTGGCATGAAATCCTGTTGCTACTGTATGTTTAGCTGCGCAGCCTTGGGCAGCTGCTTCCACCTCTATGCGCCCTCAGCCGCTCCTCTGAAATGAGATAGGACCTCACCCGCCTGTAAGGGAACTTTCCAGATGAGATGATTTTTACTTGTGCATAAGTGATTTTTTAGTTCAGACCCTATCAGAAGCTGAGTCACTGTGTCTGAATCCATTCTAATGAGATTGTGTTTTGGCTTTCTGACCTACATGACAGTGATGATGGCAAAAACAGTAGTGCTTACTGCACACAGGGAGGTGTTCTGCATGCTTTTACGTACACTCTCTGTGGTTTTTAACCTTTGTCCAAAATTATATTGAATTTGTTTGTCTTTGCAGCCTCTGGCAGTCATCGTGTGCCCTGGGTGGAAAAAGGCCCAATTTATTTTTGAATTATTGGGAGACTATAGAGCGTCCTCCAGGCCTCTTCATCCTGTGTTGTTAACAATCGGACTCCACAAAGATGAAGCCAAAAATATGAAGTTTCCAAGGGGGTGTAAGCAGCCTTTCCAGGCTATTTGGTTTCCCTAGAGAACACAGTGCAGCCCAGATCAGGCAGACCTGGGAGCCACCTGGACACGGGCTTGTGTGTTGGCCAACCTCACTTATCAATTATGTATCTGTGTAGGTAGTCAAGGTTTACTCTTGACTTAACATCTGTTTTACTAAAAAAGCTCTGTCTTTTCATTCATTTATCAATTATGCAGTAAACACCTACTGTTTATTTAGTGTTGACTAAAACCCCACCCTGCCTTTCAGGAACTCAAAACCTGGTGGAAACCCAGGTATTTAATCAGAAAATACAGGCCTCTTGTGTACCCACCTGAGTAAGAAAAACAGGTTTTTATTTTATTAAAAGGCATTTCTAGAAAGTGTGTGAAATTTTAGCAAAGGAAATGTTAGAAACACTTGTGGAAAATCTAAAGTGTTAACTCTGTTTTCTTTTAAAATGTAGGCGATGTGATTGTTGCAACACCACATAGTCTCCTGAGACTTCTCCAGTATCAGAGCTTATTATTTCTTAGGCTCTGTCACCTAGTTTTGGATGAGGTGGAAGTATTACTCTCTGAAGCTAATGAGCAGGTAAGTGTGTCTTGTTCATTTAGATGTCATTACTACTTAGAAATATTTACATATATGTATATATATACACATAGAGAGAAAATTGAAAGTCTTCTTTTTTTTTTTGAAAGTCTTTTAGAAATCAGGAAATGTGTTTAGTTGGGAAAAAGCTGGTTAATCTAAAAAAATTTTCCCTTTAATTGCTGTAATTAAGATGAGAGAACGTTTATCTGAATTTTCTACCCAATGTTAAAGTGCTTTGAAAAGCAAAAATTCTTTCCTAGGGAGATTTTTCTAAAATACTTAATATTTTTCTGGTTATAAAATCAATGGTTTTGTTTTAGAAAATTTGGGAAGTAGAGAAGAATACTTGAAAACCCCCCACATGTGTAGTCTTAATGCTCAGAGGTAATTAGTTGTTCTAATTTAGAGTATTTCTTTCCTTTTTGTAATTCTGGTGTCTGTTGATACATATAATTAATATTATCAGGACCTATTTTGTGTATTAGTTTGTAACTTGCATTCCAGTGAACAGCATTGTGAGTGTTACTACTCACTATACCCTAGCATGATTGTTACTGGCCACTTAATATTGAATCCTATGGGCACAACATAATTTATTTTATAATTGCCTTATATTTGGATATTTAGGATCATTTGTGTGTGTGTGTGTATGTATGGCTGAAGAAACACATCTTTTTTGCACACATTTTTCTTAGGAAGGGGATTCCTTCCTAGGAAGGGGATTAATGGATCAGAGGCTGTGAATTCTTAGAAGGCTTTTGTTGGAAGCAATGTCATGTGACAGCCTGGAGCATTTCTGTGGGGGCAGTGATGGCCCCAGGGTTAAGTCCAGGCTTTGTTACTTACTGACTGTGGGTCTGGGCAGGGTTCCTGAACTCCTCTAAAGTCTCAGTTCTTATTTGTTAATATCTGGACCGCTGCCTTGTACACTGGCCCTTCTGAAAGTGTAGATGAATTTGCACTCCATCAGGCAGTGGACCAGAGGCCATACACGCTGGACCCCAGCAGTAGGAGGCCCTGGTCCAGCTTCCTTTTGCAGGTTGATTGTTACATGTGGAGTCTGATTTACTTAATCTCTGTGTCCTTGACAGTTTGCTAAATTGAGCATTGATTCATACTGGCCATTTGTACTCATTCTTCTATGAGCTGCTGTTTCATTTCCTTTGTTTTCTTTCAGTGGGATTACCTTTTTCTACCTAGTTTGTACAATAGAAGTTTTTATATAAGGCGATTAATCCGTTGTTACCTTTGTTACCCCGGATTCTGGGAAAGATTGAGGGCAAGAGGAGAAGGGGGCGACAGAGGGATGAGATGGTTGGTTGGTATTACTGACTCAATGGACATGAGTCTGCGTAGACTCTGGGAGATAGTGAAGGACAGGGAAGCTTGGCATGCTTCAGTCTGTGGGGTCGTGAAGAGTTGGACACAACTTAGTGACGACAACAGCAAATTAATCCTTTGTTACCTGTGTTATCCATATATACTCAGATGATGTTTGTTTTAATTTTGTGTATATTTAACATTTTTCCTTTTTAGTTTTTTTTTTTTGCTTTTGCTTTAATGTTTAAAGACTTTCCCCATTCTGAGAACAGAAAATATACACTCTTTACCTTTTATGTTCTGTCAAACTCATTCTTAGTTTCTTTTGAAATAAAAATGAAATTAATTATACTAATTTTTTAGGTGTTTGCTATATTAGATAACTTTAAAAAAAACATTGAAGTTGAAGAACGGGAATCTGCCCCACATCAGATTGTTGCAGTTGGAGTTCATTGGAACAGACATATAGAGCATTTAATCAAAGAGTTCATGAATGACCCCTACATTGTGATCACAGCCATGGAAGAGGCTGCCCTCTACGGCTGCGTCCAACAGGTAGTGAGTTGTGGGTGTACATGATGAGGGCTGGTGAGCACAGGCCAGTAACCTTATTCACTTATATTTAGAGATTACTGCACTGATTTCATATACGAACCTGGAATTATGTATTTGAGATTCTATTGCTTTTTATACCTTCTTCTCTATTAAAATTATGATTTTCCCATAAAAAGGAAAGCTGGAGCACCGTGAACATTTTAAGAAGTCCCACTGTTTTTGCATTTCTTTACCAGGTAGTGCATCTTTGCTTGGAATGTGAAAAAACTTCTACTTTACTCCAGACTCTTGATTTCATCCCAAGTCAGGCAGAGAAGACCTTGATCTTCACCTGTTCTGTAGCTGAAACAGAAATAGTGTGTAAGGTGAGCCCTTCCACACATAAAATGTTTTTATTGCTTATATACACTGTGGTTGAATCTTGAGTCATCAGAGAATCATTGGAATAGTTAAATATTTGACAAGAAAATAAAATTTTATAAATTCAACATCAGAACAGGCTCTGCCATAAAGCAAAACTGCTGGCAGTGAGAAAGGCCGAGGAGGCCTGACAGTGAAAGCACCAGGGCCAAGGGGAGCCTGGCTGAGCAGAAAGGATCCGGCTCATGATGGAGGGGCAGCCTCTTCTGTTCCCTCGGTTTGAGAAAACAGAGATGCTAACAGTAAAATAGATCATCATTTTAGCCAGAAAAGCCAAATAAATTGGCCGAAGATTTAATCTAATTGTGTATAAATACTACAATGTAGAAACGAGGCCACACACAAAAGAAGCAGTAGTGCATCCACATTTCAGCAAAAATGAACTAGGTGGTGTAGTGAAAAAACCTTTCTTAAATTAACAATAGTACCATAAATTTCATATGTTCATATACATACCCCTTCAGAGGTAAGTATACATACACTTAAGTATATATATACACACACACACACATATGTATGCACACATTATTTTAAAAGGAAGAAAAATAGTTTTAGCAAAATAATATTTGTTTCACTGGAGCAAGTTTTTAGATATAAACAATAGAATTTTGAAAGTATATTTATTTAAATTTACAACCATCTCATTTGTAGAATTAGTGGATCAGTGAGGTAACACCCTCACAGAGAATTTTAAATGTTTATATTGATACAGATAATTATTGATGAAAAATTATCTCTTAAATTTATATTCCTGAGTGTGAACTGGCCCCTTTGGTTTCGTCTTCAGGTGGTAGAAAGCAATTCCATATTTTGCTTGAAAATGCATAAAGAAACGATTTTTAATTTAAAAAGTGTTTTAGAACAGTGGGAGAAGAAGTTAAGTTCTGGTTCTCACATTGTATTAGGTAAGTATTTTAATTTCTACTTTTATTTAGAGAAGGCTGAACTAATAGGAATTATTCTTTGATTCATTTATTTACTTCTCCAAATTTCTCATTCTCAGATTTATTGAGAATGTGTTAGTAATGTTAATTTCGAAGTGAAAATTAACTTCAGTTAATTGATATTGAGGTGAAATTCAAGTATCCCCAGGGCAGTGGTCAGCAACCCTTGGTCTAGATGTGCTCCCTGGAGTCGAGTTTAAGGATCACTGTCATATATATGTATGCCTGTGATGAAACTTGTCATAAACAAATGCTAAGTTTGGTATTGGAAATACAAAAGGCAATTTGTATTAAATAAATGAAAACATTACATGGGCAGCTTAGATTTGTAATAGAGGCATTTTTCAAGTTAAAAGGGAGACTATTTTTCTCTGAAATTTAATTACCAAGTTTCAAATTTTGGGAAAAGAAATGGGAAAGGAGTTTCCTTGTATCTCAACAGTAAAATGAAATAAATATTTTGAAGTTTGGCTCCTGGAATTTTCTCTGTGAAATGCGTGTGGGAGAATTGCAGCCTCTCTTGAAGCTGTCACTTCTTTTTCTCCAGCCTTAACAGATGATTGCGTCCCACTCTTGGCCATCACCGATGCCACGTGTGTTATTCACTTCAGCTTTCCTTCCTCACCAAAAATTTTCGGTGGACGCCTATATTGCATGTCCGATCATTTTCAGAGTTTAACTGAACAGGTTTGACTCATATGCATTATTTAATATTTCACTGGCATTTTCCACGTAATGACAAACTTAGACTCTGTAAAGTGTTATTGTTTAGACTGGTATGGATGATTCACTTCCTTTATTCGCCTCCAATGTTAAGGGTTCTGCCGAACAGGGAGATAAAAAGACCAAATCTGTCTTGCTGCTGTCGGAGAGAAATGCCTGCCACGCAGTTGGGGTCCTACGCTACTTGGAGCGAGCAGATGCCAAGATCCCTTCAGAGCTGTACAAGTTTACCGCGGGGGTTCTGGAAGCCAAAGAAGATAGAAAAGCCAGAAGGCCTCTTTGTCCGTATCTTAAGGCTTTTGGTTTTTGCAAGTAAGCCAGTCATCTTTTTTTTTGAAATACAATATGCAGTAAGCTGCACAGATGGTAAATTTATAGCTTGAGGGTGGTTATATAGGTAATGCAACCCATGTGAACCACACCCAGCCCTGAGGGACCCTCTTAAAGGTCCTCTCCATCTCCTTCCCAGTTTGTTCCTCCTCCAGAAGTAACCACCTGCGTTTTATCTACCAACACTGACTAATTTGCTGAGTTTTGAATTTTATATAAATGGAATGTGGTATGTTCAAGCAACTATCTGTGGCATTTGTCTGTGTATTGGTATTTTATTTATTTATTTTGTGGCTCAGAATTCCATTGTATGATTATATCTACATTCATTCTCCTCTGGATGGGCCTGCGAGTTGTTTTATGTATAAAGCTGATGCGAACACTCTTGTACATGTCTTTTTGTGGAAATGTGCACCCATTTCTCTTGGGTGTATACTTTGGAATGGGATTGCTGGGTCATGAGGCAGACGTGTGTAACTTTGCCAAAGTGGTTGGTCATTTTATCATCCCATCAGTTGTTAAGAGAGAGTTTGAACTGCTCTGTATCTTCACCAACTCTTAGTATTCATGGGGGCATGGGATAGATGACTGTGATTTTCATATGTATTGCTCTAAGAATTCATGATGTTGAATGTCTTTCCACGTGATTGTGGGACATGTGACCATCCCTTTTTGTGAAGTGCCTGTTCAGGTCTTTCTCCCATTTTTAAAATGGGAGAGAGATGTTTATGGGTTTATAGGAGTAGTTTGTTTATTCTAGATATAATTGCTTTGTTAGAGATACGCAGATATGCATTGAGAATCTTCTCCCAGTCTGTGGCTTGCCTTTTCACTCTCTTTCAATTAACTAATAAATTTTGGCTGCACTGGGTCTTCATTGCTGTGCTCGGGCTTTCTCTAGCTGCAGCGAGCAGGGGTTGTTCTCTAGTTGTGGTGCGCAGGCTTCTCGTTGGTGGCTTCGCTTGTTGCAGAGCACGGGTTCTGAGGCACTCGGGCTCGGTAGTTGTGGCTGCAGGCTCTAGAGCGCAGGCCCGGTACTTGTGACACATGGCCTTTGTTGCCTCATGGCATGCAGAATCTTCCCAGACCAGGGATTGAACCTGTGTACTCTGCATTGTCAGGTGGATTCTTAACCACTGAACCGCCAGGGAAGTCCTCACTCTTTCAAGAGTCTCAGTGAACAGATATTTTTAATTTTGATGAAGCATTTTAGAAATACATGCCTATCTCTAGGTTATGACATTCTTCTCTGTTTTCTTCCAGAAGCTTTATAGAGTTAGCTTTCACATCTAGATATTAATCTGTATTGAATAAGTTTTTGTGTATAGTGTTTGACATGGACAGGGTTTACTTTTTTCTGTATGGATAATCCCTTGCTCCAGCTTTCTTTACTTAAAACATCGCCACGTTCTCACTGAGTTGGTGCCTTTGACGTAAACAGACAACAGTATATGTGATCCATTTGTGGTTGCTCTCTGTTACACTGGTCTACTCGCCTGTTCTTAAACCAGTACTGCACCTTCTTAAGGTAGCTTGTACTATAGTGGGTCTTGGAAAACGGTATGTAAGTCCTCCAACATGGCTCTTCTTAATGGTTATTTTTGGCATTTTAATTCTAATGAATCTCCATATTCATTTTAGTATAGGCTTGTCACTTTCTTCAAAAACATTGCTGGAGTTTTGACAACTGCATTGATTCTGTGGATCAGTTTGGAGAGCACAGGTATATCTTAGCACTCAGGAACTCTCTTAGGGATCCAGACACGATACCAGTAGCTGATCAGTGGATCTCTGGAACTAGGTAGTAGATTCTGATAGATATCTACTGGATGGAATTTAAAGATAACTGTTGAAATTAACTTATTTTTTTGATTGTGGTACACTATACCCATTATTAACAACAATCTCCATAATGCGTTTAAATAAAATACCAACTTTTAAAACTGAAACTTTAACTATTTCTCAGTTTGGGTTAAGTGGCTCCTGGTTTAGAGGTTCATTGGCCTTTGTTGCAGGTTCAGTTCAGTTCAGTCACTCACTCGTGTCTGACTCTTTGCGACACCATGAATCGCAGCACGCCAGGCCCCCATGTCCATCACCAACTCCCAGAGTTTACCCAAACCCATACCCATCGAGTCGGTGATGCCATCCAGCCATCTCATCCTCCGTTGTCCCTTTCTCCTCCTGCCCCCAATCCCTCCCAGCATCAGGGTCTTTTCCAGTGAGTCAACTCTATGCATGAGGTGGCCAAAGTATTGGAGTTTCAGCTTCAGCATCCGTCCTTCCAATGAACACCCAGGACTGATCTCCTTTAGGATGGACTGGTTGGATCTCCTTGCAGTCCCAGGACTCTCAAGAGTCTTCTCCAACATCACAGTTCAAAAGCATCAATTTTTCAAAGCTCAGCTTTCTTCACAGTCCAACTCTCACACCCATACATGACCAGCGGAAAAACCATAGACTTGACAAGATGGACCTTTGTTGGTGAAGTAATGTCTCTGCTTTTTAATATGCTGTCTAGGTTGGTCATAACTTTTCTTCCAAGGAGTAAGCGTCTTTTAATTTCATGGCTGCAGTCACCATCTGCAGTGATTTTGGAGCCCCCAAAAAATAGTTTGACACTGTTTCCACTGTCTCCCCATCTATTTCCCATGAGGTGATGGGACCAGATGCCATGATCTCAGTTTTCTGAATGTTGAGCTTTAAGCCAACTTTTTCACTCATCTTTCCTTTCATCAAGAGGCTTTTTAGTTCCTCTTCACTTTCTGCCGTAAGTGTGGTGTCATCTGCATATCTGAGGTTATTGATATTTGTCCTGGCAGTCTTGATTCCAGCTTGTGCTTCATCCAGGCCAGCATTTCTCCTGATGTACTCTGCATATAAGTTAAATAAGCAGGGTGACAATATACAGCCTTGACATACTCCTTTTCCTATTTGGAACCAGTCTGTTGTTCCATGTCCAGATCTAACTGTTGCTTCCTGACCTGCATACAGGTTTCTCAAGAGGCAGGTCAGGTGGTCTGGTATTGCCATCTCTTTCAGAATTTTCCACAGTTTATTGTGATCCACACAGTCAAAGGCTTTGGCGTAGTCAATATAGCAGAAATAGATGTTTTTCTGGAACTCTCTTGCTTTTTCGATGATCCAGCGGATATTGGCAATTTGATCTCTGGTTCCTCTGCCTTTTCTAAAACCAGCTTGAACATCTGGAAGTTCATGGTTCATGGATTGCTGAAGCCTGGCTTGGAGAATTTTGAACATTACTTTACTAGCGTGTGAGATGAGTGCAATTGTGTGGTAGTTTGAGCATTCTTTTGGATTGCCTTTCTTAGGGATTAGAATGAAAACTGACCTCTTCCAGTCCTGTGGCCACTGCTAAGTTTTCCAAATTTGCTGGCATATTGAGTGCATCACTATCACAGCATCATTTTTCAGGATTTGAAATAGCTCAACTGGAATTCCATCACATCCACTAGCTTTGTTCGTAATGATGCTTTCTAAGGCCCACTTGACTTCACATTCCAGGATATCTGGCTCTAGGTGAGTGATCACACCATTGTGATTATCTGGGTCATGAAGATCTTTTTTGTACAGTTCTTCTGTGTATTCTTGCCACCTCTTCTTAATATCTTCTGCTTCTGTTAGGTCCATACCATTTCTGTCCTTTATCAAACCCATCTTTGCATGAAATGTTCCCTTGGTATCTCAAATTTTCTTGAAGAGATCTCTAGTCAGTCCTATTCTGTTGTTTTCCTCTATTTCTTTGCATTGATTGCTGAGGAAGGCTTTCTTATCTCTCCTGGCTATTCTTTGAAACTCTGCATTCAAATGGGAATATCTTTCCTTTTCTCCTTTGCTTTTTGCTTCTCTTCATTTCACAGCTATTTGTAAGGCCTCCTCAGACAACCATTTTGCCTTTTTGCATGTCTTTTCCATGGGGATGGTCTTGATCCCTGTCTCCTGTACAATGTCACAAACCTCCATCCATAGTTCATCAGGCTCTCTATCAGATCTAGTCCCTTAAATCTGTTTCTCACTTCCACTGCATAGTCATAAGGGATTTGATTTAGGTCATACCTGAATAGTCTAGTGGTTTTCCCTACTTTCTTCAGTTTAAGTCTGAATTTGGCAATAAGGAGTTCATGATCTGAGCCACAGTCAGCTCCTGTCTTGTTTTTGCTGACTGTATAGAGCTTCTCCATCTTTTGCTGCAAAGAATATAATCAATCTGATTTTGGTGTTGACCATCTGGTGATGTCCATGTGTAGAGTCTTCTCTTGTGTTGTTGGAAGAGGGTGTTTGCTATACCAGTGCATTCTCTTGGCAAAACTCTATTAGCCTTTGCCCTGCTTCATTCCATACTCCAAGGCCAAATTTGCCTGTTATTCCAGGTGTTTCTTGACTTCCTACTTTTGCATTCCAGTTCCCTATAATGCTGTAGGTTTATAGTGATGTGTTTCTGATTCAGAATCTTTATTTTGGAAGTATATTTTATTTATTTACATATTACATTTAAGACTGTCTGGAGAAATGATGTAGTAACTCTGTCCTTTAAGTTTAGTCAGTGCCAGTTAATTTTTAGGATTCCTTTCCACTTACTTACATACTGTTAGTGTCATCTAAAGGATTTAATATGGTTACTTTACAGCATCTCTAATTTCAATTATAGATTAGTTGTCTTGAAGGATACTTTAAAAATCATGTTGAAAATTATTATTTTTTTCTGGGCTTAAAATCCTGCTCTTTTTTTTTTCAGAGACAGAAGGATGTGTCCTGACCGGCACCGTCTTAATCCAGAAGTAGACATACCAAGGAAGTTATCTAGCCAAACTCTACCGGTGCTTGGATACATAAAAGTAAGTTCTGTTAAAGATCCTTTGTCCAATGATTAATGGTTAGTTTTAGTGAACAAGTTTCATTTTTAAGTGGTAGAATTTAATAGAATGTAATTATGACAGTATTAACGTACCTCCATTAATCTGACATCAGGCGTGGGTTCTTATATGGTGCCTTATTTCAAGGTACCAGTTTGTTCAGAAACGAAGACTAAATTGGGAAGATAGATAAAACACTTAAACAATTTAAGGAATTTTTAGTGTTATATACTTTAAATTATATATATATGAAATATATATAAATTTTATTTTTAAATATTTTATATTTTATATAACTATTTTATATTTAAGCATTTAAAATATATTTTTATGTATAAATATTTTATATTTTAAACTTTTAATATAAATTTTATTTCTTTATTTACTGACTGCACTGGGTCTTCATTGCTGCACATGGGCTTTCTCTAGTTGCAGCGAGCAGGGTCCACTCCTCCCTGCAGTGCATGGACTTCGCATTGTGGTGGCTTCTCTTGTTGCGGAGCACGGGCTCAGTAGTTGTAGAGAACAGGCTTAGTTGTACCACAGCATGTGGGACATTCCTAGACCAGGGATCAAACCTGTGTCTCCTGCATTGGCAGGCAGATCCTTTCCACTGGACGACCAGGGAAGTCGTCCTCAGTTATATTTCAAGAAAGAAAGTCGTTTACCTCTGGGGACTATTAAAAATATGTAAACCTCAGGCCGATTCATGTTGTTGTATGGCAAAAACCATCACAATATTGTAATTATACTCCAATTAAAATTAAAAAAATTTTTTTTAAGGAAAAAAAAAATAATGTGATGCTTCAGTTACTTCAATTGTTCAGTTGTGTCTGACTCTTTGCAACACCGTGAATCGCGGCATGCCAGGCCTTCCTGTCCATCACCAACTCCCGGAGTTTACTCAAACTCATGTCCATTGAGTCGGTGATGCCATCCAGCCACCTCATCCTCTGTCGTCCCCTTCCCCTCCTGCCCCCAGTCCCTCCCAGCATCAGGGTCTTTTCCAATGAGTCAACTCTATGCATGAGGTGGCCAAAGTGTTGGAGTTTCAGCTTCAGCATCAGTCCTTCCAGTGAACACCCAGGACTGATCTTTAGGATGGACTGGTTGGATCTCCTTGCAGTCCACGGGACTCTCAACAGTCTTCTCCAGCACCACAGTTCAAAAGCATCAATTTTTCGGAGCTCAGCTTTCTTCACAGTCCAACTCTCACATCCACACATGACCAGTGGAAAAACCATAGCCTTGACTAGATGGACCTTTGTTGGCAAAGTAATGTCTCTACTTTTTAATATGCTGTCTAGGTTGGTCATAACTTTCCTTCCAAGGAGTAAGCGTCTTTTAATTTCATGGCTGCAATCACCATCTGCAGTGATTTTGGAGCCCCCCAAAATAAAGTCTGACACTGTTTCTGCTGTTTGCCCATCTGTTTCCCATGAGGTGATGGGACCAGATGCCATGATCTCAGTTTTCTAAATGTTGAGCTTTAAGCCAACTTTTTCACTCTCCTCTTTCACTTTCCTCAAGAGGCTCTTTAGTTCTTCTTCACTTTCTGCCATAAGGGTGGTGTCATCTGCATATCTGAGGTTATTGATATTTGTCCCGGCAATCTTGATTCCAGCTTGTGCTTCATCCAGGCCAGCGTTTCTCATGATGTACTCTGCATATAAGTTAAATATGCAGGGTGACAATATACAGCCTTGACATACTCCTTTTCCTATTTGGAACCAGTCTATTGTTGAATGTGATTATTACACAGCCCTTTTCAGAACATCTATGGCAATTCCTTTGGGGATATTCTGAGATGCAGGTAGAATTACTGAGTTGAGTTGTCACTTTCCTGTGACTCTGTTTTAATTCTTTGCTTCCTTTTGAGTTTGCATGTTCTGTTCTCACCTTCCCTTCCCACTAAGGTGTATCTGTTAGGTTCGTCCATACTTGTGCTCCCTTCTTGTGTGGCTGTGCTGTATTTGTTTCCTGGGGCTGTTGTACACAAATTTATTCCCTCCATCCTGGAAGCCAGAGTCTAAAATCAAGGTGCCCACAAGAGGCTGTGTTCCAGCTGAAGACTCGGGGGGCCCGGCCTCTCACAGCTTCTGTTGACTCCAAGTATTCCTTGGCTCATCTCAGCTTGTACTGTGTCTGTCCCTCCAGCCTGTGCCTTCACCGCTGCATTGCTCTCACCTCTCTCTCTGCCTCTTACAAAGCACACTTGTTGGTAGATGAAGGGCCCAGCAAGATAATCCACAGTGATCTCCTCACCCAGAGATGCTTAATTACATCTGCAAAGACTTTTTTCCCCAATGAGGTCACAGTCACAAATCCTGGGAGCTAACACAGAGACAGTTTTCTTTGGAGCAGATTGGGCAGGTGGGGTGAATCTCTATTCAACCCCAATACAGTTTTTATTGCTGACATGATTTTTTTCTTTAATTTCTAATTATTTCCCAAGTTCTGTCACTTCATTTCTACAGTTTAAAATTCTGATTTATGTTGTTGTTTTATATCATATATCACTTTTCTTAATTAATTAATTTCTTAATTAACAAGCTGAAAAGCAGCTTGTTTTGAAAGCGAAGGTTACAGTTTTCATCTGTTTCGTGGATACACATTCCTAGTGGCTTTCATTATGTCTAGCAACTTATTCTGCTGCTTATTCTCTTTTTTATTTTATAACTTAATATGGAATTTGATCTTGATACTTTGCTGTTGTTCATTTTTAGATAAAATTCCTTTCCCCTAAATTTAAGGAGGTGATGTGGGTCAGGATTCTATAATTTCACAGAGTTTTCATTTCTATTGTTTCCATATCTTGTTAAAAAAAAAAGAAAATAAGGACACAGTTTCTGAGATTTTGAAAGGCCCTGGCTCTGTGTCCCTCCCCCGAGGTGCGTCTGGCCTTTCTCCTCCTTCATCTCTCCTGTCCCTGGGTGGACAGTGTGGGTGAAGGGGGCCCAGCCTTCACCCACTGTCAGGGTGCATGGAGATGTTCCAGTGTCAGCTGCCCTTGTCCCCAGGCCCAGTGAGCTCTGGGTGACTACCTGCCTCCTGGGGGTCTTCCTGTCCTCAGTCCTTCAGGCACATTCTTGCCGCCCAGTGCTGCTTCCTGCACAGACAGGCATACCTTGCAGATCTTGTGGTGTGGGTGGTTTTTACGCATCTGCTCTTTTGTTGTTGTTATTTTAATTAATATATTTTATTTTTTCAAACAGTTTTAGTTTTACAGAAAAGCTGAGCAGAAAATACAGAATTCCCCTTTCACCCCCTCCTACCCCGACCCCACCAGTTTCCCCTGTTGTTAATATCTTCCAATATTGTGGACATGTGTGACATTGATGAGCCAATACTGATACATTATTATTAACTGAAACCTATAGTTTAAGGTTCACTCCTTGCGGTGTTCGTTCTGTGGACTTTGCAAATGTATGGTGACACATGTCACTGTTACGGTGTCACACAGAGGACTTTCACTGCCCTGAAAATCCCAGTGTGCTCCACCTAACCCTTCCCCAGAATCACTAGCAGTCACGTATCTTTTTACTGTCTGTGTAGTTTTCCCCTTTTCAAAATGTCATATAGTTGCTGTCATAGAGTGTGTAGGGTTTTTCAACTCGCTTTTCATGCAGCAGTTTACATTTAAGATTCCTCCTTGCCTTTTTATGGCTTACTAGGTCACTTTTATTGCTGAGTGTGCTACAGTTTATCTGTTCACCTACTGAAGGGCATCTTGGCTGCTTCCAATTTTTGGAAATTATGAATAAAGCTATGATTAATACTCAAGTCCAGGTTTTTGTGTAGGCAGAAGTTACTTGGGTAAATACAAAGGACTCTCACCTGTGATTATATATAGTAAGACCATTTTGTTTTATAAGAAACTGCAAAACTTTCTAAAGTGACTGTACCTTATTGCATTCCTACCAACATCTAATTTGTTTTCCGAATATGTTTACTGTTTATGGGCTTCCCTTGTGACTCAGCTGGTAAAGAATTCGCCTGCAATGCAGGAGATCTGGTTCGATCCCTGGGTTGGGAAGATCCCCTGGAGAAGGAAAAGGCTACCCACTCCAGTATTCTGGCCTGGAGAATTCCATGGATTATATTCCATGGGGTTGCAAAGAGTCGGACATGACTGAGCGACTTTCACTTTCACTTTACTGTTTATATTTCAGATAATACCCTTTTATGTTTTGAATGCAACAAATTACTTTGGTCGTATAGTTGATAAACATGAGGATCTTTGTGCAACTCTTAATGCTGAGATGAAAGAGTATTTTGAAGACTCCAATAATAAAGCAACTGTTGAAAAGATGGAGAAATTTGGATTATATGGGTTAGCAGAAAAATCAGTTTTTCACAGGTAAAATGTCTCTATTTCATCTCTACAAGTTGTGAAGCACAAGGTAACGTTAAATGGTATTGAATCCCTATTTTCATCGCTGTCCATCTGAGCGGTGTGCATATGCTGAGCCTGGCTGCCTCCCAGGAGGGTGGTGGCAGGGTCGTGTGCCCACATGCCCAGCTCAGCTCTACTCCCGAGCTCGTCGGCCCCGGGACCGCTGAGCCCAGAGCACAGATGACAGTGTGGCGTTTATATGACCATCATCGAGCTCTCACTGTCCTGCACACATGTGCATCTTTAACTCATGGAATTCTTACACATTCCCATAAAATGAGCACAGTTCTCATTTTACAGATAAGCAGACTGAGTCCTGGGCTTCCCTGTTAGCTCAGCTGGGCAAGAATCCGCCTGCAATGCAAGATACCCTGGTTCAATTCCTGGGTTGGGGAGATCCCCTGGAGAAGGGATAGGCCACCCACGCCAGTATTCTTGGGCTTCCCTTGTGGCTCAGCTGGTAAAGAATCCGCCTGCAATGCAGGAGACCTGGGTTCGACCCCTGGGATGGGAAGATCCCCTGGAGAAGGGAAAGGCTTACCCACTCCAGTATTCTGGCCTGGAGAATTTCATGGACTGTATAGTCCATGGGGTCAGAAAGAGTCGGACACGACTGAGCAACTTTCACTGTGTATGTATACTGAGCCCTGGCGAGGTTATGTAAGTTATCTAAGGTCAGCTCAGGAAGCGGCAGTTAGTGTTCCATCCTGCCTCACGTGGTGTGTGCTCCCATGTCCAATGAATGCCATACCTGTCCTCTCTTGATGATAGCCCAGATAGAGAACCTTGGAACATTTAACTTGTCAGATAAAGGAATTTCCTCTTTTCAGAATGCTACACTATCTTTTATACATAGGTCTGAAGTGAAAGTGAAAGTGTCAGTTGCTCAGTCATGTCTGACTCTTTGTCACCCTATGGACTATATATAGTCTGCCAGGCTCCTCTGTCCATGGGATTCTCCAGGCAAGAATACTGGAGTGGGTAGCCATTTCCTTCAACAGGGGATCTTCCCGAACCAGATATCAAACCCAGATCTCCTCAATTACAGGCAGATTCTTTACTATCTGAGCTGCTAGGGAAACCCTTATACTTGAATTAAATAAATAAATCATGGCTAAGTGCTCTTGCTGACTCTAGTTATTTTATTTCTAGTATGGAGTTAAGTCATGCAGTTTAGGGGAAAGTTCTGTGTTGTTTGCTTTTAGCAAGTTGAGGCGACAGTTATTTCCCTTTGGGTCTCTGTGTTGGTCTGAGGCCACTGTTGTTCTGCAGGGTTCAGGTGTTGGAGATGAGCCAGAAGGAGGACACGTGGGCCCTGGATAACGTCCTTGTGAAGTTCATAGATGAAGGAAGATCGGGGCTCGTCACAAGAGACCAGTTGCTACACCTCCCAGAAAGATTCCACACACTGCCGCCCCAAGCTGTGGAGTTTATCGTTTGTAGAGTGAAACCCGTGGACAATGAAATTGAATGGAATCCAAAGGTGGGTAATTTGGGCTTTTTGTATTTGTTGACTTCTAGAATATATTTAACCCAAGAATAAACAGGGAGTTGAGGTGTATTTGAATTTGGAGTACTGGGTTCGGGTGAAATGCATTGTATTTCTGGGCAGGGATGCACTTGCCAGCGCTGTGCTCTGAACGTAGCTCTGAACCCTCAGAGGGTGCCAGACATGATTGGCCATCATTATCGATAGTGCTCCCAGGCTTAGAATTGGTATAAAATAGTTACTGTGCTAAAAATAAACTGTCACTTAAAGAGAATAAACAGTACAAGTAGCTACAAGAGTGGGTACCCTGTACCTCTCTGGGGGACCAGGTAATTCCACTGGAGTTGGGAAGATGGGCAAGGAAAGACAGAGAGTCCAGAAAAGCTTCCAAAGGAAGGGACGTTTCCTCTGGGTCCTTCAGAACAGGTAACTAGGATGTCACCAAGTAGACTGGATAAGGCACTGAAGGCGAAGAAGCCCCGCTGTGCCAGGACATGGCGCACACAGCTGTCCCAGGTGGGCGGGGGGACCAGGCAGACAGTCTTGCTCATCACCAGAGCAGTGATTCCTATTCATAACAAGGCCTTTAATTCTTCAGATGGTTACGTTTCATACAGTCTGATGAATAGGATATGAAAGAAGCCATTGCACATGGCAAAGTAAAAAGTTTGGGTTGTAGACAGTGGCGCTGAGTGAGGACAGATGCAAGGGTGCATCCTGAGTGCAGGTGCATGCTGTGGACTCCCCACACCGCGTGTTTCCCAGTGTGGATGCACAGCTCTCATTCCTCTATCAGCTGTCAGCCTGTCTTTAGATGATGGATGTTTATTTCTTTAGAAGTTCAGTGAGCGTGGAGAGAGAGTCCCACTGGTAGTGGAGACCAGGGCCCCTCAACCCCAGCGTCGCTGGCGTGAGCAGCCCCGGTGTGTGGCCTCCTAGGGAGCAGCAGGAATACCACGTGCTTGGGACTTGGCACCTGTCCTCGTCCTTCTCCGCTGTGGTTACCCTTGTTGGTGTCAGGGCATTATGGCCTCCATAACCTGCTTCATGGAGTGGTCATGAGGCTCAAATGAAAGGCATGGAAAAGCTCCTTGTGAAACTACTGAGCACATGCACAATTAAGTATTTCCTTAACTCTTCAGATAAATTTACTTATGTATATTTTTTTTCAGGTTACTAGGTACATTCATCATAAAATTATTGGAAAACTGCATGATGCAAAAGTGGTACTGGCTTTAGGAAATACAGTTTGGATTGATCCAATGGTAAGAACACAGTTTTCTTAAAAAGAAACATGTGTTTGAATATGCTCAGTCCCTAAGTCATGTCCGACTCTTTGCGACCCCATGGACTGTAGCCTGCCATGGGATCTTCCAGGCCCCTGAAATTACCCAAATTATTCTAACCTGTTGGTTAAATAACTCTCTGCCTCACGGAAATGGAGGCTTTTTGATAAGGGCTCTGTGTGAAGGAGAGCTTGTCTCGTGTTATTTGGGTCATGAATGTGTGGTCATGGGTTTTATGGTTTAAGGGAATCTTTAATGTTATAACCCAGCACTCGCAGGGATGTGTGTGTAAATCGCATGTACTCACACATACAACCAAGAGGAAATTCATGAAACTGTTGTTAGCACGTGTGACAGTCTCTGCCGTTTCCAGTTCTTTTCCGGTGTCAGTTGTGCACCGCTAGTCTCCTTCGCAGCCTCTGCCCGCAGCGTGGGAAGCCTGGGGCAGCCCCTTCCCTGCAGGAAGGAGCACAGCTGTGTGCTGGTCTAGCTGTGAATGATCGTAACAGCGGTCAGCAGCGTGGAGACGTCCTCAGGCTTTCGAAGGCAGGTTTATTGTGCTCATGGCTTCTACCTCGTCCATTCACCGAATATTTATTGGACACCTCCTGTGTGCCGGGACCTGTATGGGGCACTGGGGTTCCACGCATTGACAGACAGCTGCCCTGTGGAGCTGCTGTGGGGCTGGGCAGCGAGACAGAATGTGAGGCCAGGGCCTCGGGCGTCCCCTCTGAGATCCGCTCTCAGGCCCTACTCTGGTTGCACCCCGGGGACTCTACTTTTACTTCAGAGTTTTGCTCTATTAGACTTAAATCTTAATTATTATGATAATTTATAAAGTTTAAAGGAATTCAGTTCATAAAAGCTGTTTTGTTAAAAGGTTTTTTTTTCCCTAAGAGTGAAAAAGCCTTAACACTGAAAAAGATGAGTTTGGGTATAAGAGTTACAAGTAAGAGGAGAAAATGATTTTTGGAAGGGAAGGTAGAGACCACCAGTGCAGGTAAATGAAGAGATCGGAGGTGGGGCGGTTCTTAGTTGATGTCATAATAATATGTGGTGGTTCTTTATTATAGAAATAAATTGGAAACTTTATTAATAGGCAAGGATTTTTTTTAAAACTACAGCTAAGAGAATGAAGCAAAAAAAGAAAACCTACGTGGCAAATACGCTTCCTCAGCTCCAAAGTGTAACCGTGTCCATGGCACCTTGGAAGGGAAACAGACATAGCCCATCTCCTTCCCCCCCACAGCAGCGCGGTCCCCGGGCTGAGAGGAGAAAGGTTCTTTCCTTTTCCTGGATGGGAGAGCGTTCCCAATTCCAGGTCCCTGGGGAGGTGCGCCTGCCTTGCTAGCCTGGTCTGTTCCGCCAACCCAGGAAAGTCCTGGGGCCACACCTCCCACCAACAGGAATCAGACAATTGCAGATTTCCATGTTTTACTTAATTTTGTGTAAACTGAAACGGATGAGAATATTTGGGTTGCAGAAAAAAAAAAATGGAGGAAACTGCCCGAGATACAGGATCTAGAGCCTTGGCATAGGCCCTTTCTGGGCCTCTAAAGCGCCTGAGGCTTCTTGTTAGGAGAGGTGAGCGTACGAGAGGGAAAATCAGGAAGATCTAAGAGTTGTGTGTGTGGTTACAGCATCACAGATGGGTCTTGTCTGGGGTTTTACCCCAGGACTTGATCTTGGCCCCTGCTCCACACCAGATCTTATCTCCCCAGTATGCGGCTGGGTTCTGGATGACTGATGAGGAGACCCTGCACGTGGTGGCATGTGCCCTGGTGCATTGAACACTACACAGTGAGATAGGGAGGCCATGGGAGAATGTTTGTGATTCATCTAAAGTTCTAAATGCGGTTCTTATAAACTTTGTATTTTTTCTTTGATTCAAGGTGCACATTACAAAGCTTTCAAACTTGAAAACTTCTGTCATTGATTATAATGTTCGAGCTGAAATTTTGTCAATGGGAATGGGCATTGATAACTCAGAACATGTAGAACAACTGAAAAAATTATACAAAGGAGCTAAAATGCCATCTTTTGAAGAAAGCCTGAACCAGACCCTGTAAGTGGATTTTTGTCCTCCTTTGGAAGAGCTGTTTTGTGGAAATAGAACTCACAAGTGGTATGGACGTTTTTGCTGAAAGTAGAGTAGTCTAATGAGTCTCTGTGTTCCCATCACCCAATAATTACCAATATCTGGGGAGTCTTATTTTATCCACACTCCAGCCCACACTTTTGTTTTTGCTTGACTATTATAAAACAAGTTCCAGATATGTTATTTCACCATATCACTTACAGAAGGAACTTTTGTTAGCTTTTTATTGACAGCACACATCCAGAAAAGTACACACATCATAAGTATGGCTTGGTGGATTTTCTGAGCATGGAAACCAGCCCAGATCAGAAATAGGGCACCACTCAGAGCTGCCTCCTGCTCCTCCACAAGGGCAGCCGCCTTTCAGACACAAAACAACGTGGATGACCCTTCCCTGGCTCGTTCTTTGAATGGAGCCATGCAATATGTCTCTTGTGTCTCCTGACATCTTTAACTGTTACTTGAATTCATCCATGTTGTGCGTGCAGCTGTAGACCATGGATTCTCATTGCTGTGTCATATTCTGTTGTTATGAGTGTGATTTATTTCCCCATTCTGTTGATGGGAGGAATTTCTAGGTCTGGGCCACTTCAGGTGGCACTGTAAATGTTCTCCTTCATGTGCTTTGGTTCACTTACAAATGTATTTTTGACAGAATGGAATGGAAACTGCTCAGCAGTTTTCCAGATTGGTTGTACCAGTTTTCATGTCCACAGCAAGATATGAGAGGACTTTTGCAGTCTCTGAGAGAGTGTACTGCTAGCCCTAGATGGGAGGATGGACTCAGCATGTGTGTCCACCAAAGGACTTGCATCAAGAGCTCCTTTCAGTCAGAAACAGCAGACACCTAGTAGAAACGGAACGAAAGATGTGAACAGACACTTCACAATGTCCAATTCATTGATTAGCTGTCCAGTAATTAGTATATGAAAGGGTCCTCAGGCCCATTACTCATCAGGGAAATGCAGATTAAAACCACAGTGGAGCAGTACCACTTCATAGCCATGGGAAATGAGAGAAAGGAAATACCAAGTGTTGGCAAGGATGTGGAACAACAAAAGGCTTTAAAAAACTTGACTTAAGCGCTGTTAGCACAGCTAGTAAAATTATTGGCAATTTCTTAAATTGCATTTTAATTGTGTTAAAATACACATAACAGAATTTCTCATTTTTGTTTTTTCAAAGTGTGGTAAAATACACATAAAATATATCACTGTAACTATTTTTAAAAAATTTTATTGGAGTGTTGTTGCTTTACAACTTTTGTTAGTTTCTGCTCTATAGCAAAGTGAATCAGCTATGTATATACACATATTGCCTCTTTTTAAATTTCCTTCCCATTTAGGTTACCACAAAGCACTGAGTAGAGTTTCCGGTGCAAAATAGTAGGTTCTCGTTAGTTATCTGTTTTATACATAGCAGTGTATATATGTCAGTCCCCATCTCCCAGTTCATCCCATCCCCCTTCCCCCTTTGGTGACCGTATGTTTTTTCTCTGTGTCTGTGTCTCTATTTCTGCTTCGCACATAGGTTTATCTGTCCCATTTTTCTAAGATTCCGTGTATATGTGTTAATATATGATGTTTTTCTCTGACTGTTATTAAGTATATAATGCAGTGGCAGTATGTACATTCACACTGTTGTGTAACCATCACCACAGTCCATTTGCAGAAGTTTTCAACATCCCAGCCAGACACCCTGTACCCATTAAACCGTAACTCCCTTTCTTCTGTTCCCTCAGCCCCTGGAAACCTCCTTTGTTCTTTCTGTTTCCATTAGTTTACCTATCCTGGGTACCTCATATGAATGGAGTCATATAATATTTGTCCTTCTCTGCCTGGCTTATTTCACTTAGCATAATGTTTTCAGGGTTTATCCATGTTATAGCAGACGTCAAAATTTTGTCCTTTTTAAGGCTGAAAAACATTCCACTGTATGGCTGTACCACATTTTGTTATCCGTTCGTCTGTAGTGGACATCTGGCTGTTGTAAATAGTGCTGCTGTGAACACTGGTGTGCAGCTATCCAAGTTCCTGCTTTCAGGTCTTCTGGGATTTCTGGATCACATGGCAGTGCTGTGTTTAATTTTTTAAACTGACAGACTGTTTCCACAACAGCTAAGTGTTGTGTTCCCACCAGCAATGCACAAGTTTCCCATTTTCTCCACCTAGTTTCCCGATTTCTCTGGCCTAGAAATCAACCTGAGGTAGAAGCTTAGGGTCGTGTTAGGACTTTTCTGAGTGAGTGTCTTGTCTTGGCTCCAGGCGGCTTAGAATGGGCTACACAAATAATTCACAAAGTCGGCTCTGCCCTCTCTAGCTTCAGGGGAGGAGCTGGGGGAACAGGAAGTTGGTTCAGACAGCTTTTGGTGGTTCTATAGGGAAATAGGAACTTGGAGTTTCCTAATCCACCATTTTGTTTCGGATGCTGGAATATTTCTTCAGTCTAACTTTGTTTCAGTTGACCTGATAAATACTTTTAATTGAAGTTGCCAGTAGGTAAAGTTGAAATTTTAAAATTCATTCATTTATTAAGCAAACATTTCTTATCTACTAGGCATGCAGTAGTGAACTAAATAGATGAAGGACTTACATTTTAATGGGAAGAGAAAAACGATGAAGATGTTACAGAGATACATAGGGGATCAGATGGTGGTATGTGAGATGGAGCAGATTAACGCAAAAGGGAAAGGAAGGTGGTTTGGGGTCTGAGATGGTGAGCCCCAAGACACCAGAGCTGAGTCCTGACCCAGGCAGATGTCGAGAGGCGAAGACTCGAGTGGGCAGGAGAAGGCTTGGTTGTTCCTTGGTTCCAGGAACAGAGGGAGGTACAGTGACCAGAGGAGCAAACAAGGGGAGAGTCTAGGTGTGAAGGGTGCAGTGGCACCGGGGTTGGATCTTCTTGGACCCTGTGGCCGGTGCAAGGATAGGCTCCTTGGAAGAGGAAGTGGAGCTGTGAGAGATTTTGAGCAGAGGAAAGACTTATTAATCAGAGCACCCTGGGCTGCTGTGTTGAGAAGAGACTGGAGGGGACGAAGTCTGTGCCCAGAGTTCGGGACAGGATGACTGTGGCTCAGATTTGGGTGGTAGTGTGGAGGTGGGAGAAGTAGTTGGTGTCTAAATGTGCCTGTATGAGGGTGTGGTCAGTAGATGCTGGGTGTCGAGAGCCAGCTGAGGGGCCTCTAATGCTGAGAGGTGGCCGGCAGTGGGCACCTGAGAAGACGCAGCCTGGAGCCGGCTGGGGTCAGAGGGAGCATCCAGGATCGCAGTGAAGAAGGAGTTTCACAGAGCAGGGAGCCGTGAGCTACCCGGTGCTGCTGAGGCCACATGAAATAAGGACTGAGAACTGACAGGCGGATTTAGTCCTGTGATCGTGGGAGACCTTGAAGTGTTCCTAAATTATTGCTCAGCGTAGGGGCATTTCAGAGAACATGGCAAAGATGAAAACTGTCTGAAGTTTACAGGGTTTTCTATCCTAATAAAATTGGGTACCTGTGGGATTAGAATATGTTTTGGTTTCTGTACACTTTGAGGAAACAAAAATTGTTCCATGCTTGCTTTTTTTTTTTTGCTGTGCTGGGTGTTCTTCGCTGCTCGGGCTTTCTCTAGTTGTTACAGAGCGCGGGCCTCTCATTGCGGTGGCTTCTCTCACTGTAGCACACAGGCTCTAGGTACACGGGTTTCAGTCGTGGCCGCGCCCGGGCTCTCGGGCACAGGCTCAGTAGTTGTGGCGCACAGGCTTAGTTGCCCTGCAGCTGTGGAGTCTTCCGGGCCAGGGATGAAGCCCGTGTCCCCTGCCCTGGCAGGTGGACTCCTATCTACAGGGAAGTCCTCCATACTTACTTTTGAGATACTCTTTTAAAACTGAAGATGCCACTGCAGTTGAGTAGGGTTACTCAAGACAGAGGTGGGTCACTTATAGGAAACCCCACAACTCCTGTTGAGCCCGGCTCTGAACCAAGCACTCTGCTCGGTCCCTGCACAGATGATTCTGCAGTCTTACAGGGTTGCTGGACACCTGTGGCCATAAACATAGATGCAGGGACGTGCAGAGACCACGAGAGCTACCCAGGAAGCTTGGCTCCCAGGAGGGCGCTCCATTGCAGGAGGTGAATAGGCAGCTGTGGTATTCGCTGGACCAGAGTCGAGGAGCACGGCGCCATTCTTAGAGCGGGTCGGAACGGGGGACAGAGACTGGGGTCTGAAAGGCTGACAGGCACAGGGGAGTGTGTATAAGTGTGTCACTCTGAGTCCTCAGGGCTGAGAAGACAGTGGCAGGGCTGGCTGTTCAAGGATGTTGCTCAGAGAGCAGCCAGCTCGGAGGAGAGGAGACACTGAGTGGGTTTTGGACTTGAGTTTCAGGTTATTGAAGGTGTAAACCTAGAGTGCAGGGGAGTGGGTGGGGAGGCACTGATTTGCTGGTGTTTGAGGACAGTCGTTACTTGTGAAAGTGTGGGAGGAGGAAGGAACTGATCCCCAGTAAATGAGCGCCGAGAGGAGGAAGTCAGAGCCGTGGTGGAGGAAGAGGGTGGGCGACGGAGGGTCTAAGGCCGCACAGTGGTGAAGGGAATGAAGCCCGAGAAGGGATTCATGCCCGAGTGGTTGGACCATGGGACACTGCCCTCCATGCCACAGGCTTCATGCGTGTCAGTCAGATGTGCTCTTGGAGACATACGTGCACACTCCCTACCCATAGGGGCGTAATACATGTGTTCGTGTAGGTTTGCTCGTTTAGGCTTCAATTAACTCAAAAAGGATGCACAAGAAATGATTTATGTTTTCTCCCTTCAGAAAGGAAATTGGTGGCTGGGAAACAGAGGGGAGGGGAGAGATTTTTCACTGTGTAGACTTGTCTGTCTGTTTCTAAAATACTGAACAACATGTATGTGGTTACCTGTTAAAACAACCAAAAGAAAAACACAATTTTTTGTAAGAATGAGATTGCCCTCTATATATTGATATGGTGTAATTTCCAGTTATTAAGTACAATAAAGTAAGGGACAGAAAAGAGAATGTAATGTAGTAGATTCCCATGTGTTTAAACATGTGTGTGTGTTTTAGAGAGAAAGATACAGAGGGCAGTATTTGCTTTTTCTTGCAAAGAATGTTCCTAGCAATAGACCAGGAGTGGTAAGAGGGTGTCTGGGAAGCTGGGGCAGGAGAGGAAAGGAGATGGCTTGTACTCTCTGCTCTTTGAAGTGGGCAGCGGTGCATACAATTCTCAGAGGTAAGTGATTTGAAAAGAATCTTATTTTGGCAAAAGAATTCCTGCACTTGTTGGATGATGTATGTCCATCAGCCACTCGGCACCTGATGCCGGTGCCCAGAGCTGGCTGGCCTGCCTGTCGTCTGTCAGTGAGCCGTAAGTTCTCTGCGGGTTTGACTGCTGCAGGAGGCACTTCTCGGCCTGCCTCCCTCTTCTTGCTGGGAATCCCTGTAGGGATCCAGATTTTTCCTGTCTCTTCATCTCATGGTTAAGCTCTGCCTCTTCCGCCCAGGACACCTTCTTCCGGAGAAGACAGTGCTTGCCTGCCGAGCACACGGCAAGAGGACAAGGGCTCGGAGAGAGGAGCTGACTCCAAGACAGACTCAGAAAACCGAAAGCATGGTTGGTTATCTAAAAGATGCGTAACTTAAAATCACTAATGCTTGGAAATTTTCTGATGTTTAGGCTTTCCACTTTTAGATGAATTAGAAGATGATAGAAACTGATGTTACCTAACTTTCTATTTTTGACAATTCAGCTTCCAATTTTTTTTTCTGTAACTTTTTTCCTTTTTGTTATTTGAGGTATAATGCTTATCCAGTAAAAGTGCACGAATCTTCAACATACAAAATTTTCCTGTGTGCACATGTCCATTACCCCACCCAGGTCAGGCTATTGGCCATTTCCAGAATCCCAGTGGTCTCCCTTACATACCCTTCCTGTCTGTAACCCTCCCTCGGAGCCCCTGTTCTTACTTATGATACCATCAGTGTTGCTGAATTGGAAGCACATGGTATACACTCTTGTGTCTCTTTTCCTTCAACATTAAGTCTGTGAAATTCATCTAGATTATTGTAAGTAGCAGTGGTACTTCATTGCTGAGTCATATTCTGTGATATGGGCTTCCATTGAGGCTTAACTGGTAAAGAATCTTCCTGCAATGCAGGAGACCTGGGTTCGATCCCTGGGTTGGGAAGATTCCCTGGAGAAGGGAAGGGCTGCCCACTCCAGTGTTCTGGCCTGGAGAATTCCATGCACCATATAGTCCATGGGGTCGCAAAGAGTCGGACATGACTGAGGACTTTCACTTTAATTCTGTGATATGAATATACTGCAATTTCTTTCCCCATTTGCCTGTTGAAAGACATTGTTTTCAGTTTTTGACTATTGTTAACAAAGCCCCTTATAAGCATTTTTGCTCAAGTCTTTGAAAGCCTCAGACATTTTAGACTGAGAATTTCAACTGCACTGATTTACGAAGTGTTATGTACTGGAGTGGTCCTTGCGTGTACTGATTGCTGTTCTGGAAATTGTTAGGGGTCCTAGCAGTTTGAGATAGCAGGGACATTGGAGCAGTGGTGTCCTGTGGCCAACAATTACATGTGGTCCTTTTTCAGAGAGTTTACATTCCCGATTGTTGATTGTTTAATCATAATACTAGTCAAGGTAAATAGTTCTTTTCTTAATCTAGTATTTATTTAATTAGTTACACTAAGTGATGTACATTTTACTTTTTTTAAATTGTTCTTTGCAACTGGATACTTTGGTTACTATGAAGTTTATGCTAATATTCTTACTAGTTCCTCAACTAAAAGTTGCATAAAATGCCAAAAGTACATATAATATATATATTATATATATAATGGAGTGATATTTATATGTTATTTGTAATATATATATGTGTTATATATAGTATATATATAAATATTATGGAGTCACATATAAATAACCTATAGGAAAATTTGACTTTTTGTACAGAAACTTTACCAGAAAACACTGGAGGTGCTTCCATCAACAAAACTACAGAGCTGCCGAAAAGGTATACTCATTGCTGAGGTCTGCTTTCCTTACTTGCCTAGCAAATACACAGAGATGAATATATAATCCTCTTCCCTTTCTTCCAGCTTCCACCCACAAATAAAATGGTTCCAAAAAGAGGATGTGATCATACTGAAGATAAAAATAAGGAATGTAAAAGATTACAAATGTAAATACTTTAGAGATAGGGTCGTTTTCAGGTGGGTTTATGTATAGCTTATAAAATAAAATGAAATAATTTCTAATGTTTTAAAAGGCTGACTTTATTTCTTTTTGTAAATCTAGTGCCTGGGTAGGAGAGAAATTTTACTTGGCTGATTTGGAGCTGCAAGCCAACATAATAAAAGATGATTGCAAATGCATAATTAAATATGACGAACCTATAATCACTCTTGCAAAAGAGCAAAAAGAGTCTTGGTGTGGCTTACTCAAACAGAGGGTGAGTAGAAGTCAGCCATGTTTGGTCTTAACACCCTGAGTATGTTTTATTCTCTTAAGTAATGTAAATTGTTATGTTGAACAGAATCCAAATGTGGCTTTTGATTTTGATCACTGGGAAGACTGTGATGAGGATAAGGAGGATAGCCACTTTGCCAAAGGTAAGAGGAGGTGCACCCACTCCCCAGGAGAGTTGTAGGACCTGAGCATCATGGGGGTGGACGCAGCCACTCGGCAGATCCCAGGAATGCAGCCTTCGTAAGAATGGGCCGTTAATGTAAAGCCCTCAGGCGTTAGTTTTCTCCTTGTGGTTGATCTTGGTGCTAAATGTTCTGCTTTGAGAAAGTATCAGCTCTTGGTTATAAACACACCTCCTTATAACACTTGTACAAATATTTCTCCTAGGAAAATAACTTACCCATAAGCAGGCAAATTTTACTTGCATGTTTCTTGCTTAAAATAATGAAAACTTGAGTCATAAAATAGAGCTAGAACCCAAGGGATTTTTTTTGCAATGACCAAAATAATGGGGGTGGGGGAAGATTTGCTAATGAATCTATAATTATTAACATATTTTTAATAACATCTCCCTTTTTTAGTTGTAAATTCTAAAAACCTGTCCTGCAATGTGGCAGGCTTGGTTGAGACCAGTGACAGAAGTTCCAATGAAGATGAAAGTGATAGTGAATGAGAATGCGAATTAAAACCTGCAGAGCAGCCAGAGGATTCTGACCAGAAATGGATATTGCTACGTGACCAGAAGCTAAGAAGACAGGCCTTTTTTCCCTCAAGGATCAAGCATTACTGTCACCTTGCGGCACTGGGATTAGTAATGGTGAGAAATTCTTAATTGATAGAAAAATGAGTTGATGATGAGACTCTGGAAGGAAGGTGGAAGCAGAGACACTGTGAGTGCTGGGCTGTCCTACTGGTCGCCTGGTATGAAGCCTGCCTTGACACTCAGGTTAAGTGATGCAAACCAGGCATTCAGGTAATGAACTGTACCACCTGGAGTTCATTGTTGTTTTTTCATCTGTGTTTGGTACATTCGTAAAACCTGATCTTGCACATATAAATTGAGATTTCTTAAAATTCATACTCTGCACTGCTTAACAGACCTCAATGGCTTCCCTGGTAGCTCAGATAGTTAAGAATCTGCCTGCAATGCAGGAGACCTGGGTTTGATCCCTGGTTGGGAAGATCCTCTGGAGAAGGAAATGGCAACCCACTCCAGTATTCTTGCCTTAGTTCCATGGGCAGAGGACCCTGGCAGGCTACAGTCCATGGGGTCGCAAAGAGTCAGACATGACTGAGCAACTAACACTTCACTTCACTTTGAGCCATGAGTTAGTTGGCATTCAACATAACTGTGTGTGCACTCATACTCCTAGTAGTCTTTACATATTGATAGCCGGTTACCCAGGGTAAGCTGACATCTCGCGAAGAGACAGGCCAAGGGTGAGAATGGGCTCGCCTCAGCAACAGCAAGGAGCCTGACCCAGGGCTTCCTGGAGGTGAAGCTTCTGAAGTGCCCTCGGAACCTGCAGCGTCCGGGACAAACGGGACACAGGTCTGTCTCCAGTGGAGACTGAAGAGGACTTGTGCCTGGAGGTAACACTCAGAGTACCTGCACATGGCGAGCCCTGAAAACATTCATGGCCTCATCCTGGGGTGAGGCTGCAGCACCCACAGTCACGAGGTCATCAGGAAGTGTGCATTTGTCATGAGCACTTAAATGTGGGAAGGCCCAGAGCCTGGCTTTCACGTTAACTGTCAAAGTTAGACGGGCGAGCCCTTGGCAAATGTACACCCTGTGCGCTGCTTCAGTGTGGGTCTGGCAGCTTTGCCTCGAATTGGAAAATAACGTGATGGAACATGACTGCTAGGACGGCCCCCAGAATCTTTATTCTTTTTTACACATCAGAAAGCACAGGTGCCCACGTTTGTACATGTCCCAGGTGTGAAGCACCACCTGAACGGGAGGTAAACTTTGCCATCAGGCTGTCATGTCCCATGAGCAGGCATGAACCGTCCTTTTGCTCTCAGTTTCCTCGTCTGTAAAATAAGACGGTCTGCTCCTTGGTGGGCACTGCCCAGCTGTGGGGCCTGGAGTGCTGCTGGGTGCAGTCATGCCGCTGCCCTCTGAGGGGAGGGTGTGGTGTCCAGCCTGGACAGCTGCCAGAATCACATCCTTGCTGCCACTGTGAGCCCGTGGTTCACTGGCAAGTGTCCCATTCGCACATGAGGTATACTGGGGGTGATTGTCTTTTTTTCCTGGCTGAACTGGGCTGGCTCTTCGGGAAGTTGTGGTGTCTTTGCTGGCAGAGGTTCTGGTCTGTGAAGCTCTTGAAACATTCTTATCCCATGTACGTTTCAGTAAATAACAGCTGTCACTCCCACTGGGGAGGCCACTGGGTCGGTAGCCAGGCCTCCTGAGCTGCACTGGCTTTTTCCCTGAGGTTGTTGGGCACCTGCAGTGTATGCACCATTGTATCGTCTCTTTCATAAAATGCAACACATAGTAATAGCAAGCAGTAGAGCTGCACAGATGTGTGCCCAGGTGAAAATGATGGGGTTTCCTGTTCCCAGAGAAGATGTAACGCTGATTCTCGTTCACTAACAGCTGAGTGAAAGTATTGGGCAGAGGATGGCTGCATGTTTAAATTTCAATTTCTTTTTTCAGACATTTTAATTTACGACTGTTTGAAGTTCTGAATTACGTTCTGTAAGATACAGGACTACTTGCCTGTGAAATGTAAACAATTACTAATTGTTTTTTGTTGTTGTTCTCTACTATTAATACATACTGATTTCATGTTTTGGGAAAGTTTCTGAAATGCATGGTAAAAGTACCTTTGTATGCTTCAAAAATTGCTCCTGTTCTTAGTTTTGGTGTGAAAGTCTTTTGCAGTATATCAATAAAATTTCAGTGTTTTCATGGAAATGTTACTTTTTCCATTCTTTTAGACCATATTTTGTCAGGAATATTCCTGAGTGCCAAATGCAGTTGAATTTTATACACCATACTTCTTGGTTTGACTAAAATACCAGTGAAGGTTGTCAGGGGACCTGTGACACTGAGCTTCTGTGGACACAGGCTGCAGGTGGTTCTGGGCAGTCAGCTTTGCCCTGCAGGCCTTGACATCCAGCCTAGGACGGACCTGCCACATGTGTCCCAGATGAAATATAGGAAGGGGTGGGGGTACGTAGTAAAGCATTCATACTTGAGTATTTTAAAAATATATTTCAGTCAAAGCAAAGTTTCATCAATTTTATATTTAAATGTATATATGCGTGTGTGTGTGTGTGTGTGTGTATGAACCTTTCTGATGATGGAGCTGAAAGAACACCCTTTATGAAGTAGGTGTGATGTGCCCCTTGCTAGAGTCACTGTGTGGTGGCACTGGCCCTGATTTAGTCCTTCCCACCACCACCGTTCTTCTGGGTTATGTCCTCGCCTGCTGATTTCAGCCAGTACCCACCCAGAGAATTAAGGATAGCTAAAAATAATAGTATCATACACGTGTGAATATGTTTGTTTGTTTGTTTCTTAAGAAAAACATCAGGAAGAAATAACCACAAATATTGCTTACAAAAATAAGTTCATCACAGCTTGGATTTGGCACAAGAGGCAGAGCTTGTTACTCTGGAGCTTCCTCTGGGGGCACGACTTCCATCAGCATCTGAAGGTGCATGGTGAGAGGCTCTGGGGGGGAAGTGCAGTTAGAAAAGCGTCAATAAAAATCAGCTTCACCCCACTTACTGGTGAGCAGTGATACTGTTACTCCTTGGTGATGTGTCTCCTGTTAGAGCCTGTGCTCGGAGGACACAGGTAGCTAGAGATGGGCGGACCCATCCTGGGAGCTATGGTGGTTCTTTGGAGATAAGTTATTTCCCATGAAAGCATTAGGAACCTGCTAAATATTTTACTGCCACCAAACCACTTATAGGAAAAACATGAATGACTCAGTTATATGTGTATATTTAACTACCGCTGACCAAGGCTGACTGTGTAGTCTGAAGTCACTTAGTCGGCATTTCCTTTAACATACAGGTGGTTCATTCTCTCTACTTCCTTAATTCTAACTTAACAGTTTTTGTGGGGAACAGCTTGGCTAAACACTCCAAAGTGGAGAAATAAGGCGTATTTGGGTGGGGCCTTTAGATTGTAAGTTATCCTGGCTAGATTCTCTGTCAATATAATCAAATGCAAGTCCACTTTCAGAGGCGCAGGCAAGTGTGGCTGGCTTTCTGATAGTTATGAACCGTTTCTTTCATTTTTGTAGTAGAGTACCAGCAACCCCTCAGCTCTAGGCTTAGGTCAGCGTAAAGAGGTTGGAGGCAGGAGGAGCTCTTTCAAGAAAGGAGCAAAGTCCTTGGGAAATAACAGAGGCCACAGGTGGACCCCAGGGGTGTCACCCTGAGGGGAAGAGGTCACGTGTCCTGCCAAAGAGGAGGTGAAATTTGTTAGCTGTGTGAGACCCGTGACAAGAAAGCCCTGGTAGCATCGGGGCAGATGAGGCTGCAGGGTGCTGGGCTTGCCTGGCTTCACTAATAGCACAGCGGTCCCCCGCTTGATACTTACTTGAGATTTTCTGAGCCCATCTAAACTTGTAGTGGACAAAAAGGAAATAAAATACAAGGCCGCTCAGCATAAACAACACACAGTAGAGATACTCCCACGCAGGTTTGCTGACGATTGGAGCCAGAACCAAAAACACGGATAAGAGAGTCACCAAGATGGGGACGAAAATGGGCACCTGCAGGCAAAACAACAAGGAGTCACCACTTGGCCGTGTGCATTTGTTTCCCTTTTGAAATTTTTCATACCCTTGATAGAGAAAGAAGAATGTAGTTAGTTTCAAACACTTGTAAGTGAATTTGCTGACCTTATTTCACCTGTTCTTTTTCTTTTCCCTAGATGATAAAGAAAACACCCTCACATCATTTTGCCTGTAAAATACACATCACACATTTCTAACTGACAAGGACTTCGATTTTAACATGTTGGTTCCTCCTTGCTCTGTCTCATGATTAATTTGTTGTCGGAACTGGATGGTGTGTCCTACACTGTCTTCATCTGGCTCTGCTGAGAACTTGCTCCTCTGTCCCTCTCGTTTGCTCTAAACGGGTGGTTAGACCTGGAGGCAAGAGCCCTTTGTGGTGGAGCCGTGCACTTCCTTTCATCACCTGAGGAAGCACTTAAGGTCTGACTGCCACACTTTCGAATCCCTGAAGTCAATCAGTGAGCTCAGGGGCTCGAGAGACATCCAATCCTAGCAGATCTGGATTCACCCATTTCTCCAGGAAGCTGTTTCTTTTCGGTAGGAAATGGACACTTAGAAACCATCATCTGGGTGGATGGAGTATTCAGTGTTCTTTCACCAGGACAGAAAAAAATTATTTTTTTTTCAAGAAGGGGAAAACATTGCACAAATGATTCTAATAGTTTTGATTCAAATTTAAGGTTGCGCTTTTTTCCTTATTTTACTCTAGACTTACATTTTCTTTCCTAATGCTTCTTTTTTAAAATCTTTATAATGGCTTTCACATGATTACTTATTTTCTTTATCTTATAATGTGCCTATAATAAAATAACTATGCCAATTCAGTTCAGTTCAGTTGCTCAGTCATGTCTGACTCTTTGCAACCCCATGGACTGCAGCATGCCAGGCTTCCCTATACCAGTACTACCACTGTAAGTAGCATGAAGTTTGACTTTTTTTGTAGTTCTTTTTAACAGAAGAGTATAAGCCACAAGGGAAATGCAATTAAAAGTCATGCACTTTAGTATAAGTTCTGGTAATTATGCTCTGTGTGGTTATGTCATCTACTTTTTATAGAGTAATTTTTTTTAATCTCCATTTGTTTGGAGTTTTCAGGGATTTGCTCTTTCCCTTTTCAGTGTTTAATTTTTTTATATTATAAATTTTTTCTTGAGTTTGCTTTATTCTTCCAGTATTTCTTTTTGAGAATAAGCACATGTATATGCACAAACATGCATACACCTGTCCATCTTCCACTACGTTTACATGAAAGGTAGCAAATACATAAAACACAGTGTTACACCTTGTTTTTTTCCATTAATATACTTCAGAGATAGCAGTGTTGTATAAAATTACTTATCCATTTTACTGCTGCATACCACTCTACTTGGTGGATGTTCCAAACTTATTCAGCTAGTCTTCCACTAATTGACATTTGGTTTGTGTTGAGTCTTTTGCTTTTACAGTTAATGCTGCAATAAATGACCTTGGGTATGTTTCATATTTTTTGTCAACTTCACTTTGGGATGGATTACCTCAGAACAAGATGACTGGGTCACAAGGTAAATGCATATGTAATTTTGCTGGATATGGCCAGGTTTCCGTCCATAGTGGCTATATCATTTGAATTCCACTAGCAGTGTTGGAAAAGGCTGTTTCCCCATGGCCACCTCCATGGGGTGTGGCCAGACTCTAGGATTTCTGCCCCATCTTACAAGCAAGAAATGGTAGCTTGTTAGAATTCTGGGGTCTGTCTCTTATTAGGAACAAAACAGTGTGCTGGGGTCCATTTGTTTGATGTTTAAGTGTCACTGCATTTTTCTCATTGAACTGTCTTTTGTGAATTGTGTCCATTTATATCTTTTGTCCATTTCAGTTGTTAGTAACTCCCATCTCAATTTTAGGAACTCTTTAAATGAGGGCTGTTAGTTACCCTTTTTGTGTGTGTGATATTATTGCAGATATTTCCCCTAATATTATATATATGTGCTTTCAATTTTCTTCTCCTTATTTGAATGCATGCATTTTTATTTTGGCCAGGAGATATGGTTGCCCTTTTTAAAAAATTACTTCTTGATTTTTGAGTTACTGGAAAGGTTTTCTCCATTCTTGGATTACAAAACAGTTTATGTTTTCTTCATGCATCAGTACTGTGATATTTAAATTTTAGAATCTATATTTTAATATTTAAATTTAATATTTAATGGCCAGGTTTTCCCTGGCCATTCTTGCTATTAATAGTTTGTTCTTCAATATGAACTGTATAATCAGCTCGTCTAACTCCAGAGAAAAAATTAGATGCTGTTTTTTTATTGTAGTTACATGAAATGTCTAAATGAAGGATGCTGAGTTTCCCTATCCAAGATGATGATGAATTTCCATTTGTTCAAGTTACTTTTTTTGTCTTGCAGGAGAATTTTACTTTTCCACTGAGAAGTCTAACCTCTTGTTAAAGTTTATGGCTAGGTTTTTGTTTTGGACAGAGTGGGGGGAAGATGAGGTGTTGTCTTTCATTTTCTTTTAATTGCGCATCATTTTTATAAATAAAGGCTATTGATTTCAGTGTCTTAATTTTATGTCTTATTACTTTACTATATTTCCTTGTAGTTTTTTCTTTGATCCTTTTGGGTTTTCCAGGTGTACAGTTTTTTTTATTTTCTTTGAAAAGAGAAAGACTTTCAAAAATCTTCTCTAAACCTTACGCTCCAAATTGCTTTCTCTATGTAATTGCCTGGCTGCTGTCTTCAGAACAGAACTAAGATTGCTTTTTGCCATAAGGTATGTTTGTATGTGTGATCATACCAAGGAAAAGATATTGCATTTCTATTTGTGTTTCTATCAGTGATGTATGTCGAATTTTATCTGGTGGTTTTTAGCATCTGTGGGAGGTGATCATAGGGGTATTCACCGTAGGTATATTAATATAATGAATTACATCCCCCATGAATTAAATCCAGTTCATTCTAATCTTTAGCCACGCTCGTACAGACTTGACTTAGTTGTGGTATGTTTTTAATATAATTGGATTCTATTTGTTAAATTATTTTATGATTTTTCTATCAATATTCAAAAGTGAGATTGGTCTGTGATTTTTCTGTGCTGTCTTTGCAAGGTTTGGTATTACTGTTACAGTCCATAAAAATAATTTGAAAAATCAGTAAAACAACCTGTAGCTTACCTGAAAAAAAAAAAAAAAAAAACAGCATAAATACACAGATAAACAAAAATGGAGAAATAATCTCAGGAACATAGGAAGTTTTTTTTAAAAAAATCATAAACTATTTTGTATAGCTGTATACAAATAAATTCAAACACCTTCATGAAATGGACAGTTTTCTAGGAAAATACAGCTTACTAAAACTAACCCCAGCAGAATCTGAGTTCATGGTGAAATTCTAAAAAATAATCCAGTTAAGCATCTTAAGTTCTTTCTTTAGCTTTACTGATTCCTTCTACATTCTTTTGGTTTTCTTTGTTGATTTTTCTCTTGCTTTTTGAGTTGTCTATTTAATTTGTTTTTTGTTGATGTAAGTAATATAGCAGAACTTCCTTAAAGCACTGATCATAGATTATATGTCTTGTTTTCATTATTGTTATTTTTAGGAGTTTATGCACTTTGATTTCCTGTCTCCATTTGGACCGAAAAAGATGTTAATTTTTAAAATTGATTTCCTGTTTTATTGCATTATAGACAGAGAATGTGCTCTGTATCATTTCTGACTTTTTATTCGGAGTTTTTCTTGGTGGCATTACAGATTCAGACCTGTCCCCTCTTTACCTGAAAAGGTGTGACTGCTGTTTGGGGGACTCAGAATTTGATAGGAATCTCTAAAATGTACCTGTTATATTGTTTTAGATCTTCGGTCACTTTTACTAGTGATGTGCCTGGATCTATCCTGCTCTGAGGCAGATGTTTTAAAGTCTTCTATTTGTGTGTGTCTGTTTCTCCTTGTGTTTCCTGTAGTTTTATTTCATAAAAGTAATTACGTGGTGTGGTAAATAGGTTTTCATAACTCTTATCTCTTTAGCCATTAATTACTAAGTGGTCTTTGTCTTGTGTTCTGGGTCTGAGTGCTTGTCTGATAAGATCACAGCCCCTGTTTTCTACGTATTTTCATTTGCTTGGTTTTTCTTTGCCTATCCGTTTAATCTTTCACCACTTTGTAAACCTGCCTAAAAATTATTTTTTTCTTTTAATGAGCAATTTAAACTATTTAAGCTGAATAAGCCAGTTTATTCATACAGCTGGTAAGTTTGGTCTTCATATTGTTTCACGTGTCTATATAAAGTGCCTTCTACTTAACTGTCAGTTTCCTGCTCTTTGAAGAGTGACATTCTGTGGGAAAATTCTCACCAGAGGCTCTACTTCCTTTATTGTTAAAGTGGGAAAAATTACCATGTATCAGGTGAAATCCCAAACTTCTACGTAGAGTTTTCAGATATAACTGAAAGACAGTAAATGCATATATATATCCAACATGTGTTATGGGCTTCCCTGCTGGCTCAGTGGTAAAGAATCCACCCGCAACGCAAGAGACAAGGGTGCAGTCCCTGGGTCTGCAAGATCCCCTGGAGAGAAGGAAATGGCAACTCATTCCAGTATTCTTGCCTGGAAGATGACGTGGGCGGAGAAGCCTGGCAGGCTGCAATCCATGAGGCCACAAAGAGTCAGACATGAGTTAGTGACTAAGCACAACAACAAATGTGTTACACCTAGAAGTTAGCTGCTTTAAAAAATGATTTCCTGGGCACCAATTAGTATGACTGTTAGTAAATGGTTACCTTTAATGCAATAACATGTTTCCCAATGTCTGAGATACACATGCTTTTTCACGCTTTTCAATACACCTACACATGAAGGTAACTTGTGTCAGGCTTGGAATGTCATTTGAAACTTTTCACACACATGTATTAGAAATACTATAGCGGGCTTTGGAAATTTAAATACTCATTTTTTCCCATATAACTATCAGTTAGACATAAGACTATTAAGAGATTCATAGATTCTGTAAAGTTTGGGAATGTTAAAAAACTAATAAGCAAAAAAACAACAGTAACAACAAAAAACCCTAATAAGCATTTTACTGAGAAAATGTCAACCAGGAAGATACTCTGATTTGTTCCCCTGTTTGAGTCTTTATATATAGGTTCTTTCATGATGTTGTTTCATGGGTATGTGTGTGTGTGTTGGATATATTTATCTATAAACACTATTTTTCTTGCTTCTCAACCCAGGGATCGAACCCAGGTCTCCCACATTGCAGGCAGATTATCAACTGAGCCACCAAGGAAGCCCTTTCTGAGCATTACCATTATAAATAGGTAATAATAATATTATTATTATTATTATATAGCATTATAATATAATACCTCTGTCTCCCCTTTTTTTGTTCGTAATAAGCAGTAATGAAGTAAGCTTTCTTCTCCTCCATCCAGTATCTAATTTCTTTTTTGTTGTTGTTGTTGTGTCAGTTCATTTTATTTATTATTATTATTTTTTTCCCCAGCATCTAATTTCAAATGGTATCCTAAAGCAGTTTCTCTGACACACTTCCCTTAACTTGAATACTTTCCTATGCTTTCTCGTCCACTTTTGTTATATTATGTTGTCAGTGCTTAATAATTACATACTGTTTTGCCATCCTTATCTCCTGTCGTTAAGTCTTAGTTCTTAAATATATTCACCTTATGCCCATGACTTTTTGGTTTCTAAAGCTCATTCTCTAGTGATGCCAAAGGAAGGAAGGTCTCATATAACAATGTATGCTTTGAGTTCTCTCATTGGTAACTTTATTCTTCAAGGTCAGTTTGAGTAGATATAAAATATTTGACTTATATTTTCCTTCCGTGAATATCTTAAATAAGTTGCCCACTGTCTTATGGCATAAAGTGTAGCTGGTAAGAACTCTGATGCTTGTATATTTCCTTTTCTTTATAAGTGAATTGGGGTGGAAGAGGACAAGAAAGAGGATGTGATATACCCAAAGTGTTTAAAAAAAAAAAAAAACTCCATAGTTTTATCAGAATGTATTTATTGTTGCCCACTCTAGTTAGGATACCCCAGTTATACTGTATGCCTTTCAGTGTGTTGATTCAAGTCCCTGCCTCCTCTTAAGGTCCCCTCTCCTCCTTTCCTTCCAAATTCAGGAAATGTTTCTTAAATCACAGCTTTTAAGAATTCTATTACTTGCATTTTCTTCTTCAGCAACTCCAGTTACACATATGATGATCTCTCTCATTTTCTTTCCTGTCTCCTTATTTTTCCTCAAATCCTTTTTATGTCTGTTTGAGAGGTTTTGTGCAGATTACAAATCTGTGCTACCATCATGATTTTACATGCTTGATTTCCTGATTGAGGGGAACTGCCTGATCGCAGCAGGCCACTCTACACCTCTGCTGACTTTAGCAACTGGGTAACAGTCAAGCTACTGTGCCAGAAAGACTTTTAACCAGATTTCCGAAACAGAATTCCAAAGCTAAAGACACTTTTTATTCTTGCTATATAGTTTCTGAAGCCCTCTTCTTGCCTACCTTTTTCTTAAATCTGTGCTTATTATCATAAGAATATATGTGCTAAGTCGCTTCAGTCATGTCCAACTCTTTGCGACCCTATGGACTATAGCCCTCCAGGCTCCTCTGTCCATGGGATTCTCCAGGCAAGAATACTGGAGTGGGTTGCCATTTCCTTCTCCAAAGAATATATGCCATAGGTTTAAAAGAAAAGCCCGTAACATAAGCAAAACACAATACATTCTCCTTCCCCACCGATATATGGACCCACAGCAGCCATGGAGGCAGGTGGGAAGGAGCCTAAGATAGATTGCAGAAGTGGACTGTAGGTGGCTGCATGCACAGGAGCAGGTCTGGGTCTGAGTCAGAAGTCCCCATCAGTAGACAAAAAGTGTATGCTTGAGAGATCCTGGAACTGCCAGAACTGGAACTCTCCCTTTGCTTAGACAGGTCACAGGTATTGCTGATAACGTTAATACATTAATAATGAGATGGCTGACTGGACCATAATTTATATGAGATGAAGAGGAAACTCCACTCTTAAGTATGACATTCAGGAGAAAAGGTTGAAAATAGAAAGCACGCTCCTAGAACTTAAAATAGTTACATCTAAATGAATAAATTAGTTACCTGTGTCTAGCTCACTTCAGGAAAACAAAGCCACTTGTGACATTTGGGGAACTAAACCTACCTTGATAGGTCTTTTCAGTTCTTTCCTTGTAAACCTCATCACAATTAGTCCAGTGATCGTCAAACCATAAAACAGCCATGCAGCAAAACTGAAGTAATTGACTAAAGAGTTTATGTCACCAGGGATGATGTAAATGATCGTTATCATGCTCTAGAAGAAAGAAGAATGAATTCTTAGGTCATCAGTACATGAAAACATTATCCTTATGACTTCACAAAAGACAAAAGAAGCAGTGGATAAACGCCTTAATGTGAAAGAAAACTTTTGTTTATCCCATTATATTTGGGGTCAAGCCAGACTGGTGAAATTATAGCTCTTTTCTTTGAGGCGTGATGGAAAGGACTTGGAAGATAGGTAGCTCTTTTAAACAGGAGAAAAACAAAATGTATATCACATCAGCTTCCTAATTATTAATTTTCCCGGCAGAGAGTTTTCACTGGGGGAAAGAACCCTGCACTAGAAAACCCAGGCTGTCTAGGTCTGGTATTGACTGCATTTACTGCACTATCCTGGACTTGTAATTCCTGTAATTCTGGATCTGTTTTCTCATCTCCAGAGGGAGTAGGTTGACAGAGAACAGGGGCTCTCCTCAGGGTGGGAGGAAGATTCTGGCCCTTAAGCTAGGGTGTGGATGGTCCAGAGTTGCCCATAATAGATACATACAACCAAGGACTACCCCTCACTGAGAAATTCCAATCAGAAAATGTCAAAGGGCCTTTAGCTCACAAGCATCCCATGACTTATGAATTATTGGACCACAATGAGAAGCTGTTGTCATTAGCCACCTCATAAAACGCCTTATTCTCCTTCCCCATAAGCTAGTGGGGTTTTGTACAGTTTGTTACCAGGGACCCAAAGCACACAAATGTGCATGTAAGACATGTAGAGGGTACAAGCTTGGAAGATTCAAACCGTATCTTTCATAGATAAATTTAGAACAAGAGGCAGAAATTGGGTAAATTATTTTAATTGTTTTGAACTTTTTTATATACCTGAGGCCTGGGGAACCTGGGTCATTTGAAAATAACTGAACTTAGTGATCAAGTTTATACTTTATCATCCAGACTGAGGGACCCTCTGCCTTAAGAGGGTGTTTTCATGGGAGAATTCATACTTACATGAAAGATGATGGCAGGAGCTGGAGTGAGGCGCTTAACACTAATGTAAGACAGCACTTTTAGCATGTGGCCTTCCCGGCCTGCAACAAAAACAAGTCTGAAAGGGCAATAATAAGGAAGTCAGTTGATGAAAGAGTATAGGTTACAGTATGATCACAGAGCAAGTGTGTCCTAATCTCACTACTGAGGCCACAGAGAAAAGGACTGAGTTATGACCCTGGTATTTTCAGATAGGAGTCCAGTCTCTGGAATAAGTGAGTTTTGCACAAGTAAGCTGATTAAATGCATCTTAGAGGAATGCCTTTTCACACTGTTCATGGGGTTCTCAAGGCCAGAATACTGAAGTGATTTGCTGTTCCCTTCTCCAGAGATTTCTTCAAGAAAATTAGAGATACTAAGGGAAAATTTCATGCAAAGATGGGCACAATAAAGGACAGAAATGGTATGGACCTAACAGAAGCAGAAGATATTAAGAAGAGGTGGCAAGAATACACAGAAGAACTATACAAAAAATATGATAATGACCCAGATAACCATGATGATGTGATCACTCACCTAGAGCCAGACATCCTGGAATGTGAAGTCAAGTGGGCCTTAGGAAGCATCACTATGAACAAAGCTAGTGGAGGTGATGGAATTCCAGCTGAGCTATTTCAAATCCTAAAAGATGATGCTGTTAAAAGTGCTGTACTCAATATGCCAGCGAATTTGGAAAACTCAGCAGTGGCCACAGGACTGGAAAAGGTCAGTTTTCATTCCAATCCCAAAGAAAGGCAATACCAAAGAATGTTCAAATTACATCAAATACCACACAATTGCACTCATCTCACACACTAGCAAAGTAACGCTCAAAATTCTCCAAACGAAGCTTCAACAGTACATGAACTGAGAACTTCCAGATGTTCAAGTTGGATTTAGAAAAGGCAGAGGAACCAGAGATCAAATTGCCAACATCCATTGGATCACAGGAAAAGCAAGAGAGTTCCAGAAAATACTTCTGCTTTATTGACTACGCCAAAGCCTTTGACTGTGTGAATCACAGCAAACTGTGGAAAATTCTTAATGAGATGGGAATACCAGACCATCTTACCTGCCTCCTGAGAAATCTGTATGCAGGTCAAGAAGCAACAGTTAGAACTGGACATGGAACGATGGACTGGTTCCAAATTTGGAAAGGAGTACATCAAGGCTGTATAATGTCACCCTGTTTATTTAACTTCTATACAGAGTACATCATGCAAAATGCCGGGCTGGATGAAGCACAAGCTGGAATCAAGTTTGCTGGGAGAAATATCAATAACCTCAGATATATGACTTCCCTGGTGGCTCAGATGGTAAAGCATCTGCCTACAATGCAGGAGACCCAGGTTTGATCCCTGGGTAGGGATGATCCCCTGGAGAAAGAAATGGCAACCCACACCAGTACTCTTGCCTGGAAAATCCTATGGACAGTGGATCCTGGTAGGCTACAGTCCATGGGGTTGCAAAAAGTCAGACAGGACTGAGAAACTTCACTTTTGCTTTTTTCAGATATGCTGATGACACCACCCTTACGGCAGAAAGTGAAGAGGAACTAAAGAGCCTGTTGATGAAAGTGAAAGAGGAAAGTGAAAAAGCTGGCTTAAAATTCAGCATTCAAAAAGCGAAGATCATGGCATCTGGTCCCATCACTTCATGGCAGATAGATCGGGCAACAATGGAAACAGTGACAGACTTTATTTTCTTGGGCTCCAAAGTCACTGCAGATGGTGACTGCAGCCATGAAATCAAAAGACGCTTGCTCCTTGGAAGAAAAGCTATGACCAACCTAGACAGCATATTAAAAATCAGAGACATTACTTTGCCAACAAAGGTTCATCTAGTCAAAACAATGGTTTATCCAGTAGTCCTGTATGGACTTGAGAGTTGGACCATAGAGAAAGCTGAGCACCAAAGAATTGATGCTTTTGAACTGTGGTGTTGTAGAAGACTCTTGGGAGTCCCTTGGACTGCAAGGAGATCAAATCAGTCAACCCTAAAGGAAATCAGTCCTGAATATTTATTGGAAGGACTGATGCTGAAGCTGAAACTCCAATACTTTGGCCACCTGATGTGAAGAACTGACTCATTGGAAAAGACACTGATGCTGGGAAAGGTTGAAGGCAGGAAGAGAAGGGGACAACAGAGGATGAGATGGTTGGATGGCATCACCGATTCGATGGACATGAGTTTGAGTAAGCTCTGGGAGTTGGTGATGGACAGGGAAGCCTAGTGTGCAGCAATCCATGGGGTTGCAAAGAGTTGGACATGATTGAGCGACTGAACTGAACTGAAAGGAATGCAGCCTGGTACAGAGGGGAGCTGGGGGAGGGGTAGGTGAAGTGGGAGGTTGGGGAGGCCCTTTCAAGGAGGAGATACCTGATCTAAGTCCTGAAATTTGTGCAGGAAACAAATGTAAAAACTATTCCAGGGCTTTTGAACCACAGTTCTTGATGCACTTGACAGATGCCAACACAGATGTGCCTTCCACTTCTTAAATCTAGTTTGGTACTTTTCAAAAAAATCAGAAAATTAAGGATGAGTCAGCTGATGCAAACAAGTGGCTTAATAACCCCTACCCCTTCCCAGAACTCCTGATTATTCAAGAATATGAAAGGCAGTGTCTAAAATGGTAAGTTAAAGGTGAAGGAGAGCTAAATGGAATTCCTAACAAAACAAAAAGTTATCGTAGTTAAGAATTTAATCAACAGAAAAATACAAATTTAAAAAGTACTTTGGCCACCTGATGTGAAGAACTGACTCAATGGAAAAGACCCTGATGCTGGGAAAGATTGAAGGCAGGAGGAGAAGGGGACGACAGAGGATGAGATGGTTGGATAGCATCACTGACTCAATGGACGTGAGTTGGAGCAAGCTCTAGGAGTTGTTGATGGACAGGGAAGCCTGGCTTGCTGCAGTCCATGGGGTTGCAAAGAGTTAAACACAACTAAGTGACTGAACTGAACTGAGACTGAATATGAAGCATAGAGAAATAGAAAATATAGCCAGGAAATTAAGAAAGAAACACAGGAAGAAGCTTGAATATATTGAATGGGATAAGGAAATTCAAAGAAGAGCAGAAAGGGACTTCCCTGGTGGTCTGGTCCAATGGCTAAGACTCCGTGCTCCCAATGCAGAGGACCTGTGTTTGATTCCTGGTCTGGGAACTAGATCCCACATGCTGCAACTAAGAGTTTGCATGCTGCAACTAAGAGTTAACATGCTGCAAGTGAGTTCACATGCAACAACTAAAGATGCTACATGCTGCAACTAAGACCCAGTACAACCAAATAAATAAATCTTAAAAAACAACAAAGAAGAACAGAGAGCCTTTACACAATCAAAACATTCTGAGCCTTCAGACTGAACCCAGTTCAGGAAATAAAACATAGCCAGATATAAACATTATAGTGGAAGGGAAAAACTTTAAGCTACCGAATTTTAAAGATTAACTACAAAATTAGGACGGTCAGAACAACAGCCATCTCATGAGAAATAACACTTTGAAAGTGATGAGGGAAATTGATTAGATTTTCAGATTAGAATTCTGCATAACTAAATCATCATTCAAGACTACTGGCAAAATAAATGTTTAGATAAACAATAGCTATGAGACATTTACTTTTCTTCAGTCCTTGTTGGAAACTATTAAAAAGTCTACTCCAACAAAAGAGGACATTGAACTAAGTTTATTGAAGAAGTAATGTTAAGGAGACAGCAGTAAAACATGTTTTGTATATATGTAAGTATTGGATTTTTTATTTTTGTCATGATAGACTTTTTTGGAGGATTGGTTTACTTCATGAACACGGTGTAGCTGATATATTAGATGATATGAAAGGGAAAGCCCTTGCAAGAGAGGAAAGAAAACTGAGATACTGATAGACTGTAGTAGGTATTCATGTTAAATTTTAAAGGGAATTACTAAAAGAATAGAAATATAACTTCCATCTACATCAGTACAAGAAAAGAAAAGGAATAAAAACATTTCATGGTTAATAAATGAGGGTAAGATTTTTTAAGACAAGAAAACACAAAGGAATATGCTAGGAATTAATCTATCTGTAGCAGTAATCATATCCAATGTAATCAAATTCCACCTGCTTAGCTGGAGACTGTCAGGTTGGGTTTGTTGAAAGAGACACAAGCCAGAACCCATATCACTGAGAGGTAGACAATAAAAGGGGTTAGACATGTTACTAAAAGTAGCAGTCTGAAAGACAGCTGATTCAGCAATATCAATATCAGATTAGAATTTAAGGCAAAAAGAGCATTCCTACTGAAAAAGGAAATAATCTACCAAAAAGATATAAAAAAAACAGGAGCCCTTGCAAATAAACAGTAAAGGTAGAAAATTAACCACATACAAAGCTAGTAGGAAGGTTAAAAGAAGGTAAAAAGTCATCTATATATCACAACAAGTAGTTAAATACACAAAACAATTAGATGCAGTAAAACATGTTGTCAAAAGCAGTACTCATAAGTGGAGGACAATACAAAGGCGGGGTTGTTCAATGCGTTTGAAATTAGATCAGCAACTTAAAGCAGTCATGTTGTGTGTGTGTGTGTGTGTGTGTGTGTGTGTGTGTGTGTATACTTTGTTATATATAAACTTCACATAACTCAAACCAAAACTATAATAGATTCAAAAATAAAAAGGAATTCAAACATAACATGAACGATTACCATCTAATCACAAGAGAGGAACAAGAAAGACCTATTAAAACAACCTCAAATAACAAAATGGTGATAAGAACATACATTTATGTAATTACTTTAACTGTAAGTGGGCTAAATGCTCAAAAGACATAGAGTGGATATAAAATGGATGGATATATGAGTGGATATAAAAATAAGACCTGTATATATGCTGCCTGCAGGAGATTCACTTCAGATCTGAAGATACACATAGATTGAAAGTGAGTGAATAGAAAAAGTTATTCCATGGAAATCAAACCAAAACCTGGGTAGCAATACTTATATCAGGCAGAATAGAGTTTAAAGACTTACAAGAGATGGGCATTACATAACAATCAAGGGATCAATCCAAGAAGATATAATGATGGTAAATATAATATG